TTCGTTTTAGAAAATTACGAACTATTTTTTTTTTAACAATATACGAGAATATATAGGAATTTGTTTATATATATATATATTTTTGAAGATATCATTTAATTAAAAAATGAGAATTTTTCATCTACTAAAATTTTTTGATTCTCACTATTATATACGAATATGAATGAAAAAAAAAATGCCCTATGTTCAACAAACTAATTTAAAGGTTCACGCATATATATGATGCGTCAGAAAAGCACGTGTCATATACGTGGGAGTCTTTCGTAAGTATAAAAGGTAAGGATTGTGGGTAGCAAAGAAACTGTTTGTTAAAATAGATGAAAAAAAAAAAATTGTCTGGTAATAACCAACAGAAAGTAATTTGAGAAACTTGGAATTTTCCTTAAAGAAGAAATTGTACACATAAAACCGCTAGATTTCTACTACGATAAGCAAAATTCAATTCTGATAATAAAATTATATATAAATAAAGAAAAATAAAATTTATGTTAATTCTCTAAATTTGAATTAGTCAAAAATATATAATTTGACATAGCAAAAAGTCCATTTAAATAGAATAATATTTCTACTAATTTAGTAAAAAAATAACTAATTAAAAAAAATTAGTTATTTTTTACTAATAAGTATAATAATAATAATAATAATAATAATAATAATAAATAATAATAATAATAATAATAACAATGCTATAATATAATATCTAATAATTATACTAATAGTTATAAAATAATTAATAAAACAATAATTATAAACAAATACTAATAATTAACTATTTTTTGCAAAAAATCGTTAATAATAATTAGTTATTTTTAACTACTTCTTTAGAGAGAACATGTGTAAAAAGTTTGAATTTTAGTCTGACTAAAAAATATATTTTCTGACTAAAACAAACTCTAATTCCTCTATAATAAATTTATAAACAAAATCGAAATTAAAAAAAAAAATTAAAAGGCCTAAAATAAAATAAAATTGTGTGAAGCCATAACGATATAATTGGTTTGAAATAGAGAAGGTACAGGTGGAAAGGACTGAAGGCGGTTTGTGTGGCAGGTGGTGTGGATAATGTCTGTACTAACGGAAAACCAACTCAGGGGGAGTTCATGACAAACAGCTATCCTCCTATTGCAAGAGTCTACAATTCTGCATTTAAGTTCACAAAAACAGTCAGAAACTCGTATAGTGTGTGATATAGGGGAGTGAAGAAGTCGATATTAGCTTTCTTTAGACATATAAATTTTCAACATAAAAAAAAAACTAATCTAAAAGTCTATTCCCATTGCCAGAGATTTCCAAAAAAAAAAAAAGATATATATACACAGTAAAACGAATTTCAATGAGAAAACTTTTTCCCAACTGGCTTAGAAAAAGAGAGTACAGATTTTAATCGACAAATTTGATACTTATACGACTTCCACATGACGACATATATTCGCATATTATTTTTCTATATTCTTCTATTTTACTATTCCGTAAAAAAAAAATTTATCATAATTTACATTTTGTAATTGGGAAAAAAAAATTTTCCAAACGCAATAAAAATTTAAAAAAAAATAAAATTAATTCTATTTTTAGAGATGAAATAAAATTAATTTTATCATTGACAGAGAAACTGTTTTTTTTTTTTTTATTTACGCAGAGATAAAAGATATATTGTTATAAATGGATTTCAATGGAAATAAGACAAGAGGAAATCTCATGACTATCTGTGGTCATCAAATGTGCAGCAGAGTCTTTACCACGAACATAAAGGCAAAATGGAGAAACGGGAACATTCAAGAAACCGTAGGATGCAAGTGAAAAGTATGGTCGACAATTATACCACAGGTTGTGCGCACGACTGAAGATAAAAAAAAAAAAAAACAATGCACGAAGGGTGAGCAAACTATACATAATAAAGCAAAAAGGTAGTAAATAATTACCACTTATATATAAATACATACATATATATGTATATAGTAAGAAAGAATAATTATTTTTGGACTAAAAAATTAAAGTCATTAAAAACGACAATTGGAATATTAAAAAAAATAATTCAATATTCCAAATGATTTAAATATTTAATAATGTGTATTTTGTTTTGAGGAACATTACATATGATGATTTTACAAGATTGTGGAGGATATCGAAAGAAAGCACAATATCCCATTGAAGATTTTCTTCGCGCGCGGATGTTGCACCATTATCGACCACTCGAGCACAAAGTTTCTCCCTTTCTCTCTTATATATAGTTTTACTCTCTTGAGATTTCCTTACGTTCTTTTTTTTTACTAGACGTTTCGTCCTCTGTGTCATTTAGTATAATTAAAAAGAATAATTTTAATTTTAAAAAAATATATTACTTTTGCCTTTGTTTTACAAAAAAAAACAATTTTTTTCTATATAATTAAAAAACTTAAATTATTTTTTTTACTAAAAAGTGTAATTTTTTAAAAAACTTTATCAGGGAATATTTTTTTCTGAGATATATGCAAATTTTTTACGTGGCTCTTGTCCTGGTTTCTTATCAAGAGACTTTCGAGGGATTTCAATGAGGTCTAGCATATATATATACTATAGAGAGAGAGAGGGCGGATGCACAAGTAACTTGGCGTAACGGCAAAGAAACGTTTTTCTCTTTCTTATTTTATTTTTCTAACGTATATACATATATATATATATATATATATAGTGATTAGTGACGGAAGGACAGCAAAACAACTCATGGCTGGATGATGGCACGTTGAACACAATGGCCACGGGCTACCCTCATTTACGTAATGCACATACAAACAATACCGTCTGGCATTTGTTCCCGCTTCGTCGCCCGAGAAACAAAAATTACGACGCTTATCTGGACGTATACAAACGCTTCGCGTCGAATACTTGACGTGAGTCGTCAAAAAGTTTCAAAAAATATCCACACATTCATGTCAAACATAACTCCCGAATAATATAAACAATGTACAATATTGTATCCGAAAAAATATTTTATATTCATTCAAAAAAAATTTGCTACTAAATTTTTTTTTACATTAAGAAAAAAAATATACTATTCATATGAATTTTGAATGCAATTTTAGTCACAAGATTCTCGACGTTTGCACCATTTATTGTCAAGACTATTTGCGTAGTTTTCACCCTCTCGAATTCCCGCGGCGTACTTTGTCACACGTGTAAAAAAAAACTCGATGATAATTTTCTTAACAAAAAGTCTTAATTTGCTCAATTTTTAAAACGGAAAAAGGATTTGATTTTTGATAACAAAATGGAATTCTAATAATTTATAAACAAAAACTGAAAACCTCTCTTTATAGACTATGAAAACTATAAACAAAGGTAAATCAATTCGAAACTGGGAATTGACTGAATTACTTTTAAGTAAGACTATCTGTCACGGAATCTTTATTTTTATCAATAATGCAAGAAACTGGTTTCTGAAAACCCCGTCGTTCCTTTTGCAACGACAATCTACTGTGTTGTGTATTTTATAAGGAATTCAAGCCGTGCACTTTACTTTAGCAAGTTGATTCAAGTTAATAAAATATTTTTCCAAAAAATTTTATAAATACACGTCATGTAACGATGTTTCTCAAATTCGTATAGAATCAAAACAATAATATTTTTACTAATCCTCACACGCATTAAAGACAAAATTTTTACTTTATTCTAATTTTATATTCTTACTGTTGAAAAAAAAATGTAATTTAATTTTTCAACAATTTTAACCTTACAGCAATGAAACTTTAGAAATTAGTGAAACACCTTTCGAAATAGATGTAAACTAAAGGTCGAACATATTTTTTCCTCTAAAGACAACATTAGTATAAATAGGAAATATATCTACGGCAAAAAAAGGATTATAATAAAAAAAAACACCGATTCCTGTGAAAAATGCAAGTAAAAACAAATGAAAAATAATTCAAAAATGAGTTGAGCTTCTGGTCAAGATAACCGTTACTGCCAGAAGGCAAGCAACTTCCTATATACGAGTTTTCATTACACTTGACTCTCGCGTTCTTTGATAAGCAAGAAAAGTACAAAAATCACCCAAAATATAATTTAAAAGATAAAAAAAAATTAAAATTCTTGTCTACATAGGAAAATTTTGTAAAACTAACCTTATCGAGATAATGTTTCAAACTGGTTTTCAAAAAATTAATCCACTTTTCAATTTGAACTTTTTATATACACAGAAGCACACACTTGTATTCACTTTATGTTTAATGAAATTAAATTATACACCAACTACAATGAATACAACTTGTATAGATACTTTTCTTTTAACAAAAGTTGAAAAGTGAGAGCAAACAGTTCAAACAACCCGACTACTCAACGCGTGGCCGGTTACTGGCGAACTGCCAGACTAGCTTGCCATTGCTCTCTCTTCAACTTCGTATTTAACCTCTATTTTCTCGAGAAACCACAAAAAAGAATTAAACAATTATACACTTTGTTTTAAATGACACAAAAGAAGCTAATTAATAACTTGTATTATTGAATTAAATTTTACTTTCCGAGTATCACACTAAATAAAGTACACTTTTTTTGTATACATTTTTTTCGTTTTAAAAAAAGGATTAAAACTGTACAATTTAGAAATGAAACTGTAACTGTTGCATCGAGTCCATGACCAGTGCTACCAATCGCGCGAAACGTCAATGTTGTGAACTAAGATACTAACAGTGTTGGGTAGTTAAAACAGAGTTTCAATTATGGAATAAAGTGGAAAGTCCGAAATGTGATATTTTACACCGGAAATGTAGCATTGAGCATGCGTCGACTAAATCGAGGAAATCAGAAATTTATTTATTTTTTGTTCGATAAAGAAAGTCTAAAAGATTGTAATTGTAATTAAAAAAAGGTTATGAAGTTGTGGTCGCTTGAAATAGATAAACATACTATAGTAATTATATTAAAAAAGAAATCCCTAATTTGAAAAACAAAAATTATTTATATATACTTTTAATAATACAATTAATGATATTAATTGCATTATCATATTATATTATTCATATTTGTACCTGTATTGTCAAACTTCTTGATGTTGAAAAGGACTTCTTTTGTCCTTGAATTCTCTTCTACTGCAAAAAAGTAAGGGAAATCCATGATTGCTAATTTAAAAATGATTTCAAAAATTCTTCCAAGCGCCACACATCCTCCCTGTAAGACATCCAATTCTCCTCTTCTATTGCAAAAAAGTAAGGGGAATCCATGATTGCTGATTTAAAAATGATTTTAAAAATTCTTCCAAGCGACACAGATCCTTCCTTCAAAACATCCAACATGGAACTGAGCGTGCGCTTCTTGGATGCTAACTTTTATACTAGGTCTCAGCCTGCCGTGCGCTGATTGGACGGGGCACTCACTGCGGTAGCGCTGATTGGCAGGCGCTCTGGCTACCAACGTCTATAAATATATGTCGTTTTTCTCCCACCACTTCAGTGAGCTGTTAACTCTTCAAGACGTATGATCTGTGCTGCTCAGAAAAAATATTTTTTTAAATGTTTTATTCGTTATTGGTACTGGACAACCACTATCAATGTTGAAGAAATCATAACTTAATTAAATATTACCAATATTATATTTATATAATAAATATTATATTAATATAACTAATTAAATATTTAATTATTTCAAGTTATATAAAACAAAAATATTATATTAGGTGGATTCCTTATGTATTAAAGGAACATAAATAGACGAGAAATGTAATTTGTGGTTAGTATCAACCTTTTTTATATTATATTTAAAAAAAAATATACTTTTTTTCTATTTAATGCAGGAATAGTAGACATGCTTGCACCTAGCTTGCATACGACCGTCATCGAATCAGTTTCAGTAATCTGGCAAGACATTGAAAAAACACTCCGCGTTTTTCCTAATTAAATCTTTCACATCTCAATGTTAATTATAAGTTTTGTGTTTATTAAATTTCATTTTTTTTAAATAATCGATATATCGTATAAGTTTATTAAGAATTAAATGAATAAAAGCAATATACTAAAGAAAAATTTTGCGACAAAGAGATAACCTAAAAAATTTGACAATGTAATAAATTTACGTTACTGCCACTTGGTGGCACATAGCGCTGCGGCGCAAAATTCAAAAAGTACAGGTAAAATAATATTTAAAGGATAAATATATGAAATTTATATTTATCGAACATTAACCAAAAAATAGTAAAAAAATGAATAAATTAGAATTAACGCAACAAATATGTTTTTACTATTAAATATATCTGCAAATACTGAGTTTTCAGTGTTAAGTTGGTTGCAATGTATTTTTTATTTTCTGCTATTGTCAACACTGCATCATTCATCATTGTTCTTCATACTGTAACCGTCATTGTTGAAAAATTTATAACGAAAAAAAACAAATTATTTTAATTAACGTAGTGAATAATATAATAGTTTTTTAATATTTGAATTTACTTTTATCTGAAGATTTAACAATTCGAGGAATTTTTGTTGGTAAATATGAAATTTTTGACGAGAAAATAATTACAATACCCAGCAAATTTCATTACATGTTCTTTCGGAATTGACGAACCTTGTCCGTAATTTCAAAATGAATTTTGTTGATTGCTATTTTATAATATTGAATATATTAATTTTTTTTTTTAATTTAGAATTATAATTTTATGTCTATCGTGAATTTCTCGGAAGATTTTGTTGCATGTAAATGTATGTTATAGATTTGTAATTTAGTAATTTAACAGACAATGGAGGAGGATCAAGATTTTTTTTTATTAATCTTTGTTTTTATTTTGCAGTACTAAAAAGGTGAAGTGAATATTTTGAGAGCAGGAATAAGGACAGGAAAACTCATTTGGCCATGAAAATCCTCGATTGACATCTGGTGAGTGCACATTTGACAATCATTATATAAATTATAAATAATAAAACTAGATTAATATTATACGAAGTTGTATACTCGGTGACAACAAATTTTACAATTTTAACAAAATAGAATTTTGTTGGAATGCTATTTTTACAAAAATATATTACAAAAATATTTTTTTTTTTACATATCTCTCTCTCTCTCGAGATTTTGGGCAAATTTATCCCGTACACTCGCGGCTTTTGTACTATTGACAATACTATTATAAATAATTAACGATTTTAACTTACAATTTTATTAACGATTAATTGTCGATTTTAATCATTAAAATTATTATCGACTTTAATTAAAATCGATTAAACCATCAATTAAAATTCCATGGGCGCGTTGAAGTGATTTTTGATGTGTTACCATAAAATTAAGTGTAAAATCGCATTTTTCAAGGTTTTGTGTGAAAAATAGAATTTTCAAGTGTGCGATAAATATATAAAAGTGTTTTTTAAATTATTTTCGAATGCTATTAACTAAAGGCGAATATTGTCACAGATAAGTATTTAATTTTCCTTTTTAATTAATTGAGAATTATTTTTTTTAAGAAAATTTTTTTTTTTCTTGTAAATCGAACTATAAACAATTATTATTTTTAATTAATATTTTAATTTTTCTTTACCGACTGTGTATTATAACTTTCACATAATATATATATATATATAGTATTGTTAAGATCTTACTACAGTTTCGTAGAAGCGGATCCAAATGTATATATAAAGAAATATGTGTGAAAGGCATATAGAAGAAATATTCTTAAATATTTTACATATAATATTAGTAAATTTATAAAATGTACATATAAACAATTGTTTTTTTTTTTTTTTTTTACTAATTTAGTTATATTATAATTAATGTGAAGTGTTCTATTAGGAAATATTTAAGAAATCTGTTTTGAGTAATATTTTAAAGTGCTTCGATCAAAATGTAAGTCAACGAACTCTTCTATACATTTATCCTTTTCTATACTAGCATTTAAATCACTGAATAATAATTCCGATAAATGATAAATCATTTCTCAATGAAAAATAATTTCTATTTAATAAAATTTTCATTATCTCAATAAGATTCAGAATATATATTTTTTTTTATTTAAACAATAGTAGACATTATTATACATTTGTATACTTGTATTTAAAAATTATTGACTTTTTTTTAGGGATCGAGAAATAATTGATGTTTTGGACGAGATTGGTAAATTTTAAATTAAGTAATTTTTTACTTTTGGGTTATATTTAAAATATAATCTCTCATTTTTTTGTTTACAGTTCGAAAAGTAATATTAATATGTGATTCGTCTGTGGAAAATAAATTAAATTTAAATGAAGGAGCACAAAAATTTGATTGTGAATCTCAAATTTGTCACTCGACAAATATGAATGAAGAAATTGAAGATAAAGGAGAAAAGAGATTATTACCTGAAAGTGATAGTTTAAAAAATACACAAATTGTAATTAAGGCAGATACAATTAAAGAAAATAAATTCCCTGTGATAGATAAAGGTAGGAGTCTAATTTTAATTTCTGATATCATATATTTTTTAAATAAATAAAATTCTTTTAGAACCTTTAGAAAGAATGACACCAGATTCTCAAGATAAAAATTCATCAGATTCTACGGAATTGAATGCAGATTATTTAAATAATTCAAAAGATGAAAGAATATTTAATCATAATTCAATAATTGAAATCAACGAAATCGATAATAATCCAGAAAATAATTTATCACAAAATGACAATAGAATACCTAATCAAAATTCAATAGCAGAATTGAATAGTGTTTTAGAAAGTAATTTAAAAGACGATAATAGAATAAAAAATTGCAATTTAATAGAAAAAACTAAATTTGAAGATGATAGAAAAATAACAATAGATGATAAACAAATATTTCCTATAACAGAACTAACAAGAAGTCCATTAATTTATGGAAGAAAAGTGAGAGAAATAGAGGATTTGGCAATTCCTTCCACATCAACTGGTATTGGTAAATAAATAATTTTTATATTTTTTTTTTACAAATATTGAAAATATTTTCTCTAAATTTATGAAAATTTTATATATTACAGTGCCTTCAGTGATAGTTATAAATGATTTGTCAAATGAAAGTTCATCATCTGCATATTCAACAGGTGAAATGCGAAGGCGAACAGTTGAAAATAATTTTGCATTTTTATCAGATTCCGATTTAAGTGATGAAGAAATTGAACAAATTTTAGGCTGTGAAAATAGAGCCTATGAATCGTGTGATGAAATTGAAATTACACAAGAGACTGAAATTGTAATACCTGTTGAAGAATATGAAATAATTAAATATAATAATTATATTTGGAGTTCAATGGGTTTTATGAAAGTTGCACAAGTGGTAGGTGAAATTTTGATAATATTCATTATAAATTCAAAAATGTTAAAAATAGATTATAATGCTTTTATTTTTAGATATGCTGCATTACTATGTATGTTTCAATTAGTTTGTGTCGTTTTCACAGCAAGCATATACAAATTTTTTGCATTATTGGAGCTTGTTTTTCATTATTTATATTAATTGTGTATTCATATCGAATACATATCGATTATTGGAAGACTTACAAAATTCGTTTACTTCTTTCGGTAATAATTTATTAATTCGTATACGTTCACATATTCATTTCTTATATATATATATATATTTATATGCAGTAAACGAACTTTCATTAAAATTATTAATAATCTACTATGATCAATGAAAATAAATAGTTAATTATTTTAAATATTCGAAATTTGTATGTTAAACACGTTAACTGCATATACATATAAGGAAACAATATTAATTAATCTTTTCTTCTTAGGAATATATATACCTTGTTATATACACAATTTGTGATACAGTATTTGCTATTATTAAATTCGAATTTAATGAAGAAGCCAATTATCGAGAAAGAATGGCCGTTATGATATTGGTGAGTTATAAAAATTAATTTTTTCATTCAATTTTAATATCGTCTTTAAAATATATATATTTTTTTTACAGATGATTTCAACGTTGATAGCAGCATCAACCTATTGTTATGATGCAATTTTATGCTATTCATTGATAGAAGAAACATCGAAAAATAATTCTGATGAAAAAAAATTATTGCTTTCTTATTTACCAACATGTTCGAAATCATCAAGAGCAGAGATATGTGATATATTTCATACTTGTATTTTATAAAATACAATTTTTTTCATCTGATTATCTGCATAAAAAATGTTTAACCGCAAGTCTGAAATCTTTTAAATGATATGCATAAAGAAGAGGATTCCCCACAGAATTTAAATGTGAAAGAATAATGGAAAAATTGAGAAATATTTCATTTACATAGCAATGAGGACAAAATGCCATAATACAATTAATTGTATACAAAGGAAACCAGCAAATAATGAAAAATATTACAATTCTTGCTAAATTTTGTGTTGCTTTAACTTCTCGTTTTTGTGCAGCACCTAAAAGTCGAAGCATTGTTCCAGTTTGTCCTTGTTTTGATCCAATTGGATTTATTGTAACATTTTGTTGTAACTAGAAAAAAAAACACATATGTAATGAAATTGCATAAAAATATATATATATATCAAATTTTTTTATTAATTTTATATTTACTTGTTTTATTACAACTCGATATATATGGGCATAAGAAGCACCAATTAGAATTGCTGGAAATATAATTGTCGTTAAATATAGAAAGACCAAATAATCATAGTCCATAACTTCGGTGAAAATGCACTTGTCATCATTTTTCTTTCCTGCATTCCATCCCATAAGTGGCAAGAATCCAACTAAACTTCCAGCTATCCAGCAAACACATATTATACCTGAAAATAAATTTTCACTCTTTTAATAAAATTAAATTAATGATAAAAATATAGAAAAAGGATTAAGTAAGCCCACTTTTTTTTTATTACTGCAGACCTCGGATTATACGACTTTTTCTGACTTTTTTATTACAAAATTCAGTACATTACAGATCTTTTTTATTTCAATTAATTACCAAATTTTTAACTAAAATTATTATCCAAATTAATTATTTTAAATAATTTGAATGAAATTTTTTTACAAATTCATTTATCTTAAACTATTTTCAATTCAATTATTTTTAAAAAATGGTTATCAAAAATTCTTTGATAAATTATTTTTAAATTTTGTAAAATTTTAAAAAATCTTTTGAAATTTTATTATCTCTAAAAACTTCCACTGTAACTCTAATTATTATTTTTAATAATTTTAATATTTCTTTCAAAATTCAATTATTATTTTTAATAATTCTTTAAAAATTCAATTATTTAAAAAAAGCTTCAACTTCATTATTTTCCAAAATTTTTATTTGTCCATTAATACTAAAAACTATGCAAAAAAAATTTTTAATTCAAATTATTTGTCCTACTTAATTAAAATTTTGAAAATTTGTCCTAGTTCAGTTTTGAAATATTCAAAAATAAATTTACTTGATAATATTCTTGTAAAATTATTCTTATTAAAAAATAAATTAAATAATATACAATAAAATTAGATATTTAAAGTAAAATATTTATTATTTAATTAAATTAAAAAATCGACTTTTTTTTGCGCCTTTAAAGTCAATTCGAGGCCTGTTATTGAAAAACTACTTCAAAACTTTTACAAAAAATTGATGAAATTCAGTCACTCTTTTTTTTGTGGTGGAAATTTTATCAGTTCACTGAAAATAAAAGAATGATTTTTAAAAATATTTTTCACATTTCAAGTTGTTTACCAGTAAAAAGAAAATTAGATATAAAAATAAATTCATCCTATTCCGCTATAAGTATAAAAAAAAGCCTACCAATAGCTGTTTTTGTTGTCACTGTTCTTGAATATAACATTGGATGAAGAATAGCCCAATATCGATCAATTGAAACTGCAACTAGACAAAATATACTAATTGTACACAACACTATTAAAACAGATACAGTCAATAGACAACCATGTAAATTAGTTGGTAGTCCAATACTCGCTAATATTGCAAATGGTATTGCAAAAAGTCCCACTAATAAATCAGCCACAGCTAATGATATTATATAGTAATTTGTTCTTCTTCGTAATTTTCGTTCTCTGCTAAATATTAATATCACCAATCCATTACCAAATATTGCACAAATTGCCACTAAAATTTCACAAATTGTATAAGGAATATTTAATTGTGAACTAGTGTAACTATCATTTAATGTGCTAAGTGTATGATTAATAACACTTATTGATGATAATTCAGTTGAATTTATTTCAGTTTCCATAACAGGAACAAAAAAAAAAGTGATGAAAAATATCTTTTTTCAGAAAATTGTTTAAATTATTCAATTTAGAATTTAATTATTGTTCTTGTACGTTCAAATGCGCATTAATGTTATTTTTTTCCACTTCCTTTAATTTATATCTTATCCATCTTCCTTTGAGGTTTGCAAACGTTCTCTTTTATTTCAATGCATCAATCTTTTTCACTCGATTCTTGGAGTTTATTATTCCACTTTATTATAATATTCACAAAATTTTCAATCATTAAAAAAATTTTCACATAATTATTAATTTAGTATTTTGGTTTTTTGTGATCCAATAGTTATTTGTCCTTTTCTTCATTAAGAGAATGTTTAGGAATTTTTATTTCTATGAAGAAAATGAGTATGAATAAAATTCACATAAAATTGTAAATAAATGAAGAATCATTTTGGAAATCAGTGAAAATTTTTTTTTATTTAATTTTACTCTCGTGATAGCGTGAAGAAAATATTTTAAAATAACATTATTTTCTTAGTTTAATTTTTAATTTCGATACACATTTATTTTCATCAATAAATAATTGAAATCAAAAAATATCCAAAAAAAAGTACTTTCTTCCTTGAATCATATATAAAAGATTATTTTTTTTTTTTAATGATATTTTACTTATATTTGCTTAATTATATTCGAACAACGTTTAATCGATTTTTATTTTTTGCGTCAAAGCTTTCATCCGATTATTTATTCCGCACGTGTTTTTCACATACGTCTAACTTCTTTGCCCTTCAGAAGTCTACTAATATGATAGGGCGATATAATAGTGGATTGTAGTCGCATGGCTGTGGCGGTTTTTTACTCTCAAGGGAATAGAGGTAGTAAAAGTGATGAGGTACATGTATATATAAACAGAAAATGGACAGTCATGTCAGTCATTTAGTATTTTTTTTTTTCATTTTGAAAAATGTTCTTTGAATTAATTAATCAGTTAAAGTACTTATTTAGTTGCGTTGAAATTAAAAATCGTTATTTTCACAATACATTCTTTTACATTTTGATAAAATATAAAATGACATAAAATAAGGTGTGTTATCAGATTTAAATTCTAGTAAATAGTAAAAAAAAAAAAAAAACTTATAATTAATTTCGAAGTATTAAAAAATGATGATAATTATTTCCTACTTTAATTTATAGGTACATTGAACTTTTTTGATAATTTGTAGAAACAATTTTTCAATTTAAGAATTAAAAAATTTGTCGGACAGTGACAGTAGAAATAACAATTTGCGGATCTCATAATGATAATTTAATATGTCTCATTATCCTTAACAGGAATATAACAGAGTGTCTGACTTTGCACAAAAGTTCTAATTGTACAAATAGTTCCTATTCTTCAGTAATAATAGCATATAGGAGCGGTTTAAAAAGACTTGTGTTAATTCTATATATATATATATGTATTGATCACACACGTAAACGTAATTTTTCTTTTAAAAAAGAATTTTAATTCTTTCACGCCCTGTGGTACATACGCAGTACCATAAATCATAATTTTTAAACAAATGTAAAATCTCAAATTTCTATGTCCAACTAAACAAAAAAAATTTTTAAAATTACATTTCTAAAAATAGAAGAAATAATACGAAAAGATATATTTATGCATTTTGTCATAAAATCAATAAAAGATTAAAACTTAGCTCCATACAGAAAAGACCAAAATAGTCAATAATGTAAATAAATAAATTAATAGAAAAGATAGAAAACAGTCCCATAAATCAAAGTGTCCCTCATGGCAAAGACCAGAATACACTTTTCTTGTGTATTTTTACGCACAGAACACGAATCTGAAAACAGATTTTGTCACCAAGTATAAGGAGGTTCCATTTGAGGTGATTGAGGGTTTTACTAGCTAAGTGTTTTTCATTTAGTTATTTTTAAACAAAAAATTTTTAAATTAAAGTTTATCGGTAATTTTTTAATTACTGCGAAAGTGTCTAGAGACTAAAGTCACATAAAAGTTTTTCGATAAAAAAATAGTAATTATTATTATTAAAATTATATTATCGTTATTTTATAACCCCTAATCTGTAAAATAAGTTTTTTTCTTAGTATTTTCAATTAAATTCGTAATAATTGGAGTATCTGTAGCAATACCCTCCATTATTCTAATTAGAAAAAAAAATAGTTGAAACTAGTTTCCCCTTCAGATTAGATTTAAAATTTTGAAAATCATATTCGAAATCCCCTATATCGATAGTAAAAATTGAATCGTTGAAAATAATTCAGGAAAAATTTCAACTTAAAAGTGAATTTCTTCTACCGAAACAATTTTATGTTTTCTTAAAAATAAATTGAATTGACCCATAAATGGAATTTAATAAAAAGTCAATTATTACCCATTAATGAGAATTTTTTTTGGAGGCGAAAAACGATTAAATAATAAATTTTATATTACGAAAAGTAATAACAGTGAAAAACCCAGTAGAATTTTCTTTCATCTTATTTATTATTATCAATTCCTGAGAAGGTCACTGCATTAGTGCCGAAACGTATAAGTTTATTTTATACACATTTTTGTATATATTGTTTGTCCTAAGTTATAATAAATTTAGAAGTAAAAAAATTAATTTTTTACATTTTTACATAGCGAAAAATTTTTCAAAATCAAAAGTTTTTAATTATAATTATAATGTTATTTTCAATATTAATTTTGTTATTTGTAAAATTTTACCGTTTTGATAAGAATTTATCATAAATACTTGTGAAAACGTCATTTATGAGTGAACGAAGTTTGTCTTGCAGTTGCATTATTGTTTGTAAGCCATGGTTCACATAATGCACGTGCTAATATGTAGAATAACCAAGAAATGAAAGAGAGTCCAAAGATGACTGGCATACTATATCTAAAAAATATTATTTTTAATTATTGCACATAATTTTTTTAAAAAATTAATTTCAATATACAAACCCTAATATCCAGAAAAATAATATTCCAAAAAATATGCTTCCAGAAACATGATAGTTTGCCATTATACGAAAACTGATTCGTGGAGGAATACGAATTTCCGAACCGGAAGTAAATCCATTTGGAGTACGTTTTGGTAAATTAACAACTAACGTTGGTGGTTTAATAATTTGACGTGCGATTCTTCCAAAAATATCGTTTCTCATATACATTCTGCTTAATTCGTGTTGATACTGTAAAAATTGAAAAATAGTTAATATTTAGTTTTAAAAAGTTAGTTTTAATATTTATTAAAATCGGTAAATGTAAAAACAAAAATTACCTTATTATTTAGAAATGCGCACAATTTATACAAGGCTCGGACTAAAATTGTTATTTCATTGCTGCGAACCGGTTGAAGTTCTGGATCACCCAAATATTCAACATACCTATAGTTTTGTTTTCCATCTTGAATTGGAACATAAACACCAGGTCTAGTAGAATCTAGACTTGAATCCATCTGCGTGTTTGTAAAAAAATTCTTATATTGAAAATTTAATAAAAATCGATTTGAATTTAATGGAAAATTTTCTTTTCTTTTTAAAGAGACTTAATTATTATTACTTGAGATTGATGACCAAAGGAAGTGGAAAGTATCGTGTCATGATATTCTTGATCAGCAACTAAATTCGCTGGTGGAAATTCCTCTTCTTCAAGCTAGAAAAATTAAAATTATGACGAACAAATAATAATTTTTTGTTTATTCTATTCAAATTTCTATACTCATACTCGAAATATATAAATAAGACGTTCTTGTGCAAAAGCTAAATATGCTGGAACTTTTCGTCTTTCCTCTAAACATATATCATCTGAAGAAGTATTTTCGCTATTAAAAAAATTCCATATCGATATAAGCAATTTCCTTCCACTTTTTTGTTTCTCTAATGCTTCAAGTAAACTTATTGCTGTTAATTGAGCTTGTCGCACTGTGTACAAAAAATCTAGAACCTAAAAATTTGATTTTATTTTTAAATTATGTATACGATATATTTTCAAAAAAAAGATTATCTTTACCTGATTTTTCGTTGAAACTGAAAATATGGGATTATATTGATAAGACGGTCCTTCAAGTTCGAGAATTTGTTGTCGTACAATTGCAGTCCATTGATTATTTGATAATCTACCACGACTTAATGCAACATCATCCATACAACTTTCAATATCGGATAAAATTTCAGTTAAATAAGGTTGAGAAAATACCTGTAATTACAAATTTTTTCTATTAAATAATTTCTCTAAAAATAATTTTTTTTTTTAAATATATAATTACTTTTGTCACACGAAACAGCATTAAAGCATTTTTAGGCGCCACTAAATCTATTCTCATGAATCTTGGAAGAAGTTGTTGAAATATTGCCGTATAGGCTAATAAATTATTCGCGACAAATGACATCCATCTCGTTGGATCGTGAATTTTGCCCTTTTCTTCTTCTTCAAGTTTACTTAATTGGAAAAAATTTAATTATTATTAGGTCTAATTATTATTAACGAAATAATAGAATATAAATAAAAAATAAAAAAACGAACCCTTCTTCAGTGTACATAACGCCCGACACATATCTCCATGGTTGAATAAAGCTTAACCAAGCTTCTAATATCAATCGAAATGAACTATCAAGTGGCCAATGATGAATAGCTTTTTTTAAAAATAGATAAATCTTTCCTTGAACCGATGGAAGTATAACTCTAAATAATTTTAATAATTAACAAAAAATTTTGTATATTTAAACAATTTTTTTAGTGTCGCAATTTTTTTACCTTTTTAATTCGTCAATAGCGCTTTTATCTCCAGTTGCGCTATTAGCAAATTCATGTAATGTTTTTAAAAGTGCGCGTACCAAACGAATATGTTCTCCAGAATGTATACTTTGCTATAAAAATAATAACAATAATAAAAATAGAAATAATTTTTTTTTCAAATATTTAAAACTTACACGACGTGGTAAAGAGCTTGTTGCTGCTGTAACAAGATTTGGTGAATATTGATCCTCCTCCGTATATTCTAACCAAAAATCAAGACAAACTTGTACCACAGTTTCACTTCTCCAAACTTGTGGTAAACATTGTTGTTGTGGTACACCAGAAACAGGGCTTGTTGAAGTTGGAGACAATATTGAAGTTCTTAATAAACGCGTTGTTTGTAATCTAAATTTAATAAATGTTTAAATTAATTATTGATAAAAAATTAAAAATTCATTTATTATTTATTAATGAAAATTAACCTTTTTGATTCAGGTGATTGCATCAATTTCCTCGGAGGTGTTTTCTTCACATAAGGACCAATTATAGGCAAAACTGGAGAATTATCCCTTGGCAAAAAATGATTCAAATAATTGTGCGCCAATTGAACATAAACAGTTTCCCAATTTGTCCAAACATTTTCCTGTTGTGGTTGTTGAAGCCAAGGATTTGTCAAATGATAGGCAAAATGAAATATATAATACTCGAAGGGATATGTGCTTATTAAGGACAATGGTGAGTTATTATTTTTTGATAATAATTTTTTAACATTTGGAACTCCGATCAATTAATTCCCACTTAATTTATAAGTAATAAAAATTCTAACATTTATATTTTAAAGTAAATATTTTCCAAATTTTGATAAGGAGTTCCAGTGTTAGTGAAATTTTTCGATATTTTTAAATAATTCAAAAAAAAAAGGATACTCATTGCAAGTTCAGTTAACGAACGTGAATTATGATCATCTTTAATTTTATCTAAATAAAACGGAGGTATAATTCCTTCTTCCAACATTAAACGTATTTTTGCCTGTGAAAAAAAAAAAAATGAAATATAAAATTGAAAATAATTTTAAAATCTCGAGAAATAATAAAACTTACCGGTAAATAGGAGACGGGAAAATTATATTTTAAATAACAATCTGGAAGTAATTTGTAACATAGAGAAAAAATTGGTCCCATTGGACCAAGAAAATAGCAAAGTGTATCATATTCCTGTGGATTTTTCTTTGCATTAATGGAATGTAAACCCCAACCAATATTATCGTTTATTCCAAATAAAGAATGTATCAAAACAGGGAAGACATGTTGTAAATCAGCTGTACTTGACTTTTCAATTAATATTGTAAGTTCTCTGCATCGATTAATAAGCGGTAAATTTAGATACGATTGAAGACGAACCTAAAATTAAAATCGATGATAAATTTAAAAAAAATTTCGAAATCATAAATATAAATTCAAAAAAAAAAAAAAAAAAAAATAGTAAAATTCTATTTTGAGGTTAGCTTTCGAGAAAAAAAAAAAAAATTAATTACCGCTGCTACATCTGATGAGGTAGTCATTGTTGCATATTTTATATTACTTCTTTAGTATATGCAATTGTTTTAATGCTAAATAATAGCAGTAATACACTTAGAGAAAAAAATAACAGAAAACAGTTAAAAACGCACAAACACTCATGATCCTGTCTAGATCAACAATTCAACTTGACACTACTTATAACATTACGCATGCGTTTCTTATTCCCGGGAAAATTTCAAATTAATATATTTTTGTATAGAAGTAAAAATTACTAATTTGTTTTTTTTTCTTATATTTCTTCAATAATAAAATTGAATTAAATAAGTACAATTGCCTATTAAATATTTTTTTGTACAAAATCACAATTTATAAATAATTGTGAGCAATTTGATTGTAGCAAAATTTTATAACTGTATAAAATTAACATTTTACTGTTATCACATAATTATTAATTTTTTGAATATCAAAAATTTGTTAATTTAAAAATTATTATATCAGAATAATATAACTGTTAAGATCGTGGTCTATAAGTTGGCATGAAAGGTAAATAGGATGTCCATTTCCACCTAAAATAAAAAATTAAATAAATAATTAATAATCTATAATAAAGAAAATATAAAAAAATAATTTTAAAAAAATTATTAATTAGTATTGATTAAGGTAAAAAATAAAAAGTAATTTCACACCTTCTTAATAATTTCATTCCTATGGGAAAATCAAATGTATTTGGAACATATTCATTTTGATCATCATTATTTTCACCATCGAAGTTTAATTCCATTTCATTAGCCCAAGCAATTAAACCTCTATCTTCAAGGCTACCTGTTATAAAAAATAAAAGAATAATTTTTTTCTAATTCTGAATTAATAAACTAATTAAATTTTTTCTGCACTACTCGCCTGGTATAATATTATCCAAAACACAACCGGTAATTCCTCCAACTAGAATTGTTGTACTCAATAAAACTGTTATAACACCATCGGCTGTTTCACTTCCTGTATGTATAATATTCGAATGTTGAATCATCCATTTAGATAAAACCTAAAATTTTTAATTATTTTGAAACTTCTTTTTTTCAACTTAATTTAAAACAAATAAATAAATTAAATAATTATAGTAAGGCTATATAGAAGTGAGAAAACAAAAAATGTCTTACCAATGGGAAAAAAATTGAAAAACCAAGAATATACAAGTTCCTTGCATTATTCAGATTGACATATTGTAATGCTGATAAACCTTAATAAAAAGAAACAATAGATTATTTTATTATAATTTAGATATGAAAATAATAATTATTATAATAATTTTAATCAGACTAGTAATTATAATAATAATTATTACATAAATTAATAACATTAATTAATGAGGAATTATTATTTCTTCATGGAGAAAAATGGAAAAACTAATAAAGTAATTTTTACTACTTTAAAAGTAAACTGTCTGGAATTTTTGCGCTATCCTGGTAATTTTTACAGGTATTTTAATTTTTCTTTTTACAGATTCTATCCTTGATGGCTTGTGGTTTCACGTACTTCAAAGATAAGGGCAAAAGTAAAAAAGGAACACAAAATCTTGAAGGACACAGAATTCACAGACTTTTTAGATCTCGGTCTAATTTTCACATTTTCCGAATGGAAATTTAACTTGAAAATAGGAATCTCCGAGGGCTATTTAGTTTGAAAGAATCTCCTTAAAGCTGAAAATTCGTTCAGAGGTAAATATTTTAATTTATTGGAAAAATTTTATTACAAAAAATTTAGTTGTATTTTTTGACGCGCGACAACGTCTTACTCCAAGGTCTTGGGAGTCAATCAGAAAAATTGTCGTTCATAAAGATTAAAAAATTAAAAAAAAAACGTCACGATAAAAATTCTCCGTCCGCGTAATAAATACAGACCCCGCTTTTATTTTTTCATTTTTCTCCGTGTTAGTTTAAAAAAAAATTTTGTTTATTTTTAAAAGCCTTTTTACTACATACCAAATGCGGCAATCATTCCAAACATAACGCAAAATATTCCCCCAACAATTGGTTCTGGAATAATAATAAAAACAGCTCCAAATTTGCTAATAATACCTTGTAGAATCATAAGTAAGCAAGCCCATTGAATTACTCTTCGACTTCCTACTTTGGTTACTCCTAAAATTATTTATATTATAAAATTATAAATTATATTTTAATTATAATTTATGAATTATATTTTAATTATAATTAATTAATATGTTATAAAATTACATGCCTATTGTTCCAACATTTTCTCCAAAAGTATTCGTTCCATTTCCACTGCCCCAAAGACCCGCCAGCATAGTTCCCAATCCTTCGATTGCAATACCGCGATTAATTGCATGCACTGGTGGTGGAGGAGCTCCTAAAATTAAAATTAAATTATTTAAATTATTTAAATTAATTAAATTAATTAAATAATTAAATTTAATTAAAATTGTAAATTATTCTCACATTCTGTTAGATTATAAATTTTGATAATAAATTTTTTTATTTCAGGTATTTGAAAAAAAAAAAAATTACCACACATTCTTGACGTCGTTGGATAATAGCTTATACTTTCGACAGTACACGCCAATACTCCAGCTAACATGCCGAGAACACCGGAAAGAGTTACAGTAGGAATACCCCATTGACCAGGATATGGAAAGCGGATCCATGGTGAGTCGTTAAGAATTTTTATTTTTGTATCCGCTCTACCTGGATGTCCAGGTGGAAGAGTATCGGTTACCGTTAAAATAATACAAATTATCCACATAACAACTATTGTTAATAATACCTAAAAATAATTATTGACATTAAAAAAATATTTATTTACATAAAAAAAAAAATATATACAAAGGCCATTAAAAATGTTTTTTGAATATTTTCCATATAAAATGTGTAGGACAAAATATTCTAAAAAGAACTTACTGGAAATAGTTTAAATAGAGAAAACCAAATAATTCGTATTCCTTGGCCCTTTTTATATACAATTATTGGACATTTGACATTGACCAAAATTTGCGAATACAGTGTCAACATTAATATTGTTCTATAAAATATAATGACATATGAAAAATAATGGTAATTATAGTAATAATGGTAATTATATAATTGCATAATTACCAAAATAATTTATATAAATGGCGCATTTGTTGTGACAAAAAAAAAAATATAATTGTTATAAATAAATATAAGTAAATTTTACCCCACGGCGATACCCCAATGTCGTGATGCAGCTTCTGCAGCATTTTCAAATAATGATAATCCAACTAATGATACCGTTGGAACTATTGTCAGTGGTGTGACAAATTTTAAAATATATCCCACTATTCCTAAAAAGAAAAATATAGAACCTTGATTTTTTTTATCTTCAGTATATAAAAAAATCAAAAAATTTTTTCTAAAGATTTGATAAACTAAAAAATAAATAAATGTTTTTATTATAACAATTAAAATAGAGATACCTCCAAATCCAATAATTACTTGAAATAAAGCAGATACGGCAATTGCGCCTGAAAGTTCACGCATTCGTACCTGCCATAATTCAGTTCGATCATCAGGAGACATTGTTTCTAATACCTCCTGATTTGGACATTTCCATTGTGGTAAATTTAATATAGCGAGAGTAGGAACCAAAAAAGATATTGTTCCACCTTGGACTAAAGGCAGTCTAGAATTTTTTATTATTATTATTATTTTCCTCAATAAATTTTGGAAGAAAAAAATTATCCAAACTCAATTATGCTTTTGCAATTATAATATAAATTAAAATAATCTGCGTCAATGTGTTTTTTTTTTTTTTAATAATTACTCAGTTAGACATTAATCAAGAATTTCAATTCAAATTAAGAACCAGTAATTCCAGATTTGCAATAAATTTCAATCCCTTCTCTTTAAGATATACAAAGACAAATTATGCATTATGTATTGAATTTAAATGCTCTATTTTAAATTCATGTTTTAGAAATTATAAATGAAAATTGAAGGTATTTTATATGACAAATCAATTAAAGAAAAAACTATAATTGAATGAGAATAAAATATTTATATTCCGAATCATTATTAGTCATCTTAATTAATGCATTTTTATTTATTTTTTTTTTTTTTGGTAATTTTGAAATATACCTGCATCCAAATGTTGTCTGTATAAATGTTACTAATCCTGTGACTAAAATCATTGTGGAAATTATATGACTTCTTGCTGGATCATCTTCTGCCATACAAAGTGCAGGTGTTAGGATAAATGGTATTGAAACTATAGCACCAATCATAGTTAAATAATGCTGCAATTAGAATAAATTGATGTTAAAAAAAATTTTAATGTAAAAAAATTTGCTTAAACTTTATGGCAATAAATATTGTGCTAGATAATTTGTTTTTGAAAGATAAAAAGTATTTAAAAATTTTTTAAAATAAAAAAATAAAAAATATTTCTCACCTGTAGTGCCATAAATAAACATAAATACCATGGTGGAACATCGTCTATTCCATATGTAATATCAGGATTTCTATTTTTCGAATTATTTTCATCCCTTGGTGATGCGTTTGTTGAAACGGATATGTTCTGTAAATTAAAATCATTAATTTTATTTTTTATTAAAATTTTTTTTTTTAAATACATAAAAAATTGAATACAAAAAATTTATTGCAACCAAATGAATTGGAAAATACAAATCATTTAAGTAAATTAGTTTTTAATATTTTTGATAAGTTAAAACCATTTTTAGACAGATTAGACAATAAGTTAACGTATCTTTAGGAAGAAAAATTTTCCATCGGTTATGGTTAGCCTCGTGGTTTAAATAAATTAAAACTAATGTCAATTTATATTTAAATAAATTTATCGTAAAAATAATATATATATATTTAAAATAAATATTTCTTTATTCAAAGTATGCAGTAACAAAACAAGAATTTTTATTGTAGTTACGATAACGAAACCAGTTCAATATATAGCATACATACTTTTGAGTTTAAAATCTGAAATATATTTTAATTTCAAGAGAATTCTAATACATTTTCAAAATAAAAAATTGTGTAGTAAAATATTTTTTCATAAATAACTTTTTCAATTTACAATAAAATTAAAAATTTTTACATTTTAATTTATTTGAAACTTTGATTCACAGATTTGATAAATTAATCGTTTAATTAAAGAAACAAGAATGATTTTTTTTTTTTATTTTCTAAGAACAATTTTCAAATTTCTCTTATATATAAACGAGATTTATTTATTTGAGAATAATGAAAGATGTACTTACTACATTATTAAGTTGTATATCGTGTTCCATAATGAATATATGATATTGTCAATTACTCTAATTTTAAATCTTTAAAGATTTATTATTATTATTATTATTATTATTATTATTATTATTTTATTATTTTATTATAAAATTTTTTTTATATTATTTTTTCTTATAAAATATTTTCTATACACTTATTTTTAAAGAGTAAAGTAAACCATTCAAAGGAATAGAATATACTGATGAGTATTTACTAATGCCCGTAAGTTTATATTCTATTAAGAAAGACAATATCACGCATTTGTCATGTGCCAACAATAAAGTGTTAATAGACAGCGCAATCATTACCAATATATAAATGTTGTCAAAAAAAAAAAAAATAATAATAATAATATATGAAAATTTCATAATTTTGGTAGACAAAAATTATTGATTTCTAAATTAATCATTGGTATAAAGAATCATGGAATATGTAATATTTACTTAAGAAAAATTAATTAATTTTTTTTTATTATAAATAAATAATAATAAATAAATAAATAAATAATAAATAAATATTTTGATATTATTGGATAAATTAAAAAGTATACTGTAAAATTTACAGTACCTCTTATTCAAAAATAAATTAATTAAGTTCAATTGAGATTTTTTATGTGCATACTTAAAGAACTAAAATTAGAACTCATATATATAACATTTTTGGCAACCGATTATATTTTTCTTAGCATAATAAATGTTATAATTTTTGTAAAGCTATGTTTAGCTTTATTAATAATTAATTATTAATTAATAATTATTAAATAATGTTTCTAAATATATATATATATATATATATATGGAAAATTTTTGCTATTTGCAAATTATTTTGAAAATAATGGTATTATACGGCTTTTTTTACAACAAATTATTTTTATAATGTACATTTCGATCACTGCGCCCTGGATATTATCGGTTGATATGAGAAACATTTTGTCACACTATAACAGGGACCCTACCTATGAGAGTTTCGGGACTCAAATTATTCATGAACATTCCCATCATATTTAATTATATACCCCATGTCATAACCACAACCAGCAGGTTATTTACATGATTTGTTTCCATAAAATTTATGGATAAATAAATTTTTGTTTTGTTATTTAAATTAAAATTTATTTTAAATTAGTGAAAGACTAAAAATTTTTGCAACATTAATTGAGTTTTTTTTGAAAATGAATCAAGAATTTGAACCAATGGAGGTTGAAGAGGATGCTTCCAATTTTGATGAATTAATTGAATCTGAATTAAAAAGTAATTCAGAATCACCTATTTCTAGAGAAATCCAGAGTGTAAGTATTATTTAGTTTGTTATTATATTTTATATATATAAATATTATTCTTAAAAAATTTGTTTAGGTTTTTATAAATAATTAAAAAAAGTAGAAATTTAGGTTACATTCTTGTTTATATTTGTTTTCTTTTCCTTTTAGATAAAACATATATATTTTTGATGATAATAGTTAGGTATGTGATTTAAAGAAAAATGTAAATATTTTATTTTCCTCTAAAATGTAATTTAATTTTTAGCTACCAGAAGCAAGATACGAAAATAGAGGCGGTGCTTTTTTAACTGGAATAGACATTTTTAGTGAAGAGGGAAAGCAAAAAATTGAGGAACGTGCTAAACGATTTGGATTAAATGATAAAGAAATTTTTTCTCGTTTACAAGAATATCAAGATTTGTACACTAGGTAATTTCTTAAAATTGTATTTTTGGAAATTTTTATTAAAATGTTTAAGGTCCGAGAATTATATTAATTAGAAGGTTTCGTATGAATAAAAACGATAACATTCGGAGCATTGTTTAATAAAAATTCACTCCGTTTCGAAATTTACATGATTTCCTCTTCAGGGAGGAATCTTTAAATTTTATTTTTGTATTAAATTACTATTATTAATTTATTAATTTGGTAAAATATTTTATAGCATGGGAATAACGGAAGAAAATGAAAATACAAAAAATTTTCGTCTCAATGCTTTACATATAAGAGGAACTGAAGAAATGAGTACAAAAGATGTATTTAAATATTTTGAAGATTATGCTCCAGCCTCTTTGGAATGGATCAATGATGTTTCGTGTAAGTATTTATTTTTCTAATTTTTTGATATTAAATTAAATTATTAATTTTTTTTAGGCAATGTTGTATGGTTAGATTCTGCGTCGGCAGCAAGGGCTTTAGTTGGTTTATCAAAAAAAATAATAGGACTAAATAATCGAAATACATCTGAATCTAATGAAATTAATTTCACTCAAAAAGAAAATGAGGAAGAAAATATTGATGACACTAACAATGTAAAAAATTCGAATGATATTGAAATTCATGTAAAGGATATTGAATATCCTTTACCACCCGGAATTTGGAGAAAAGGAATTAATTATTCAAAATCAAAAGGAATTTTCATGAGATTCGCTACTAGAACTGATAAGAAACAACCGCGTGCTGAAAAAATGAGTGAATATTACAAAAAATATGGAAATCCTAACTTTGGAGGTAATTTTTAATCTTTTTGATATTGTATTTTTACTTCAATGAATTTAATTACAGGTGAAAGGTGTTTTTCTTTTTAGGTGTTAAAGGAATTTTAACAGAATCTAGAAAACGAACATATAGACATACTACGCAAAATAAAAAAAAAGGAAAAGGTCATTCATCTGACGAAGAGATGAATGTTAGTGTTAAAAAAAATCCTTGGGGTGATTTATCACAAAATTGGGGTGTCGGCGACACTGTTGAGGAGGAATTTACACGTAAACAACCATTCATTGATCAATCGAGTCATATCAAAGAGAGATTAGGTTTAAAAAATCGATTACAAGAAAAATTACACGAATCAGAAGAATCTGAAAGTGAATCATGCAGTGAAAGTGAGGATGAATGGTTTAAAAAAAGTAAAATACCAAGAATGCGTATGCGTGCCGATGATGAGGAAGCAAAAGTTAAAAAACGTCGAAGTCAACAACGTAAACAGGTTTTGTAAAATTTTTTTAATAAAATTGTCAAGTAATTTTTTTATTTATGAATATATTTAAATAATTCTTTTTTTTTTAGGAGACTCTTAATATTCACAAAGATTTGAGATCGAGACTAGGTAAAGTAAAAAAAGAACCTGTCCGCGATGCGATTCAGATTGTAATCACGAATTATGAAAATTCAAGAGCACAAATATCAGAGGTATTATATTAAAATTTGCAAAATTTAATTTCAAATTTGATAAATTATTTTTTAAAATTTTTAGGAAGAGGAAGGTGAAATTTTAGAATCGGAATGCGATGAACAAGAGATTGAAAATGAAGAAGAGCAAGAGGAGGGCGAAATTGAAGATGTAGTTGAAGAGAATGAAGATGATGAAGAAACTGAAAAAGAAGAAGGCGAAGATAGTGATAATGGTGATGAAGAAGATGAATTATCAGAAAAAGAAGTGCGAGGACCAAAAGGAAGTGTTATAAAGGTAGTGGCACGTAAACCACAAATTGCTTCAACTGTTTGGACAAGATTACATCGTACAGCAGTGAAAAGTGAAGTAAAAGCTGTGAACAATAGGTATGTTTGAAATATTCAATATTTTTTTTTTTTAAATATATATTAATCTTAATTATTTATTTTTTAGTTCAAAACGAACATCGCGACGTGATTTGAGAGAAACATTAAGGGGCGATTTACGATCTCGCCTCGGCAGCCATTCAAGAACAAAAGGTCGTTCTCCATTGAGAATAGAAGTAAAAAATGATAAATGCGCCAATGAAAACAGTGGTTCAGAATAAGTTTATTGAATAGAAATTTAATATATCTAAAATTAATCTTTTTCTATTATTTTTTTTTTTTTTTGAGATTAATATCGATTTCTTAGTTTTTTGTAAACATATATTTTTTTGATCATTTAGCTGAGTGAGATATATGTTTTCTTTATAATTCTCAATCAATCTTTTATTTTACCTGATTGATGAAAATTTTCTCATGTAAACAATTTCTTACCAATTCATCTACATATAGGTATATGTAATAATAATAATAATAATGTAAAAAATGCAATTTCTAAAAATATAATTAAATAATATTATATTAAAAATTTGTATTATTATTTTTTCGCTTCATTTTTTTCCTGAGGGGGGGTTCGGGTCTATTTCAAAAAAATTAAAAAATATTCAAATTAATTATTCAAATAATTTTAATTATATATTTATATTGAAGCGTACAGTGATACATTTACAATTTTCATAATTTTTAATATATATATATATATAAATAAATAATTAATATATTGTGCATATAATTTCTGTCGCTGAAATAAAGAAAACAATATATCTTGAAGCACGCTCAACGTTGATTTTCATTTTACATACATCATGACATTAAATAATTATTATTAGTACCTGCAATAATATACAAAATCATTTTTTTTACATAAATTTTTTAGGAAGATTATCAAATTGAATGATTGCTTTATTCTTTGTCACTTTATTTTTTTTTAATCTAATTAAATCATGACATGTATTGTGAGAAAAATGTGTTTTTATATCTAGAAGAGAATGGTCTAAATAAAAAAAAATTATTTTTAAGCTCAAATGTGCATCTATAAAAAATACAATTTTTATTTTTATTTGAATAAGTAAATTAGAAAGTAATGGAAAATTACAAATTTTAACAAATAAATCAACAAGGATATATATATAATTGTAAACTTTCAGACCATTATCTTCTTTTTATAAAATATTTTTCATTTGGCACGTTATGAGAAAAATTGCAATAACTTTCTCATTCATATGAAGATGAATTTATATTTTGTTGTTTTTAGTAATACAGAAAATAATTTTATCTCTGATAAACACATTTCGAAAAGATTTTTTTTTTCAAAGTTTAATATATGCACGACGAACGAAAAATTTAAGGCTGTTAAAGTAAACTCATTTGAATTGAAAAGACTTGTTTTTTTTTGCAAGAAAAGAAATTGGCGAAATGTAACATTGAAATTTGATTTTGTAACAGAATATTCTCATTTTTCAATTACATTCTTCCAATTTCAAGTTTCAAAGCTTTAAAAACAACTTTGCATAAAAAATCCTTTTTTTGCAATTCTTTTCTCATGAGCTTTTTTTTTAATATCTTTTCTGAAATTTTTCTGTTTGAGATCTTAATTATATTTTTAATTCATTGACAAAAATCAGATTTCTATTTTTGTCTTTTGTCCCAACAGCCTTAATGTAATTAAGATAATTTTTTTTAATTTCACACTATAAATATCAACATTCATTATTTAAGACGTTTGACAGTGATAGGGATCTAATTTTCGTTTTTTTTAAATCCTTTTCACTGCGTATAACGTCACATTTATTTAGCAAGTAATATTAAGTAATAACAAGACAAATTATTAGGACTGCCCGCACGAGATTTTTAAATCTTACCTCATTTCGCCATTTAAGCAGCCCTATATATGATTAATATTATTAAGTAAACAGCCGATATTTTCATTATAGCCAAATTCAAATGTACATTATTGCATATTTGTTAAAATTATTCATATAGATTATTTTTTTTTATTTTTGAATTCAAGAAATAGTTTATAATTAAGAATTCTATATATATATATATTTATATCATAAAAACTTGAACTTTTTTTTTGACTGACTTTGACTGACACACAAAGTGGTAATTATAATTTTTGTCAAAGATTTATCAGTCTTGTCTTCACAAAAAACCGTCTTAAACAGTTTACATCCGGCTACATTAATAATCAATAATTTAACACGGATATTTTTTTTTTTTTTTTTTGTTTTTTTTTAATTAGGTATGTAACATGGAAAATTTATGTAGACGAAGTATTTTTTTAATATTTGATGTAAGATATGAATTATTAACAAGTATATTAGGCCTGATTATATTGATAATATAAATACAGTACATATAGTACATATGTATATATAAAGATAGTCTATCATCATTGTTTATTGCCCACAAAATAAGTGTGGCATTTGAGAACATTTTTTATTTTTTCAATACAACTTTTTAGTTTTCATTAAAATTATTTAACACATTTTTTTTTAAATACAAACAACAACAACAACCATACAATAAGGAATTGAAAATGTTTACTAGCTTAAAGATCATCCAATGAAAAGTAAAAATCTCCAAACAATATAAAATTATTGATTTATTAAAAGCTTGTTTTATTTTTTGAAAAAATGAATTATCAACATACATGGAAAATATTAACTCATGGATTGTAATTTATAAAACTCTTCTGAAATTCTTTTCGGTTAAATATATTTTTTTTTTATATAAAACGTTTTTTTTAATATTTATAAATTGTTAACGATTATTGAAAAAAAAAAAATTATGTAAGCAGTAAATAAAAAAGAATTTTCTGTTATAAACTGAAAAAAATTAATCTGATGAATTATAAGACTACTATGCGATTTTAGAAAAAAAAAAAAAACCTATTAAAATTCAGGAAATTGATAAATTAGACAAAAAAATAATTCTTTTAGAAATTTGAATAGTTGACCGGTATAGTGTATTACTTTTAAATAATATTAATAAATAAAAATCTATTAACTTTGGTTTTCCATAAGCACATGCTTTTTATCTTAGCATACCTAAACATTTATTCGAAAAGCACAATTTAAAAATGAATACATTTTTGTATTTTATGATTGACAGAAACACACTTTTTTGAAAAAAAAATGCAGCAAACACATTGAATTGTTAAAAAAAAAATTATTTTTTACTATATTTAAAATGAAACATGCCAATCAATTCTAGAAAAAAAATAAATAACATAAAATTTTCTTCTTATTATTTAACTATTCTTTCTAACTTTTTTTGAAATCATTGTCTTTTATTCACGTAAGGCGCTTTACCAAAAATTTAATTTAATTTGCATCTTATATATTTATTCACATATTAATTTATATGCATTTTGTAAAAAGGAATCTCTTATAATTTTTTTTGTTTTTTTTGTTTAACAAACAAAAGATAGCATAATTCTTTAGCAATTTCTTTTTATTTTACAATTTAAAACAATTTAATTTTCATGGGCCAAGAGCCTTTTGTTTAAACAAATAAATCGTACAATATTTACATAACGCTTTCATTATTTTCCGTAATCAATAGATATTTCTTAAGTAACATCGTATCGTTGAAAAGGCATATTTGTACCATTTATTGCTATTAAATACTTGAGAGTAAAATATTTAATGACAAAAATTATTCCACTTTTCTAGCCAAGTTTGTTTTTCACTTTTTATTTGTTTGTTATACAGTTTTTTTTTCTCTTATTATTACAATTAAAAGCACAATCCGTAAGAGCTTTCGAAAAACATGGATTTTTTTTTTTTTTTTTTTTCAAAGAAATATCAAACATTTAAAAGACGAACTACATTTACATAATATCATAAACAACGTGCACAGTTAATACAACCACAGCTCTTACGGTTTTTTTTTTTTTTATATTATTTCAAAAATTCTTTGGTTGCAGTTATTGTTTATAATTTATCGAAAAATTGAATTTTATACACTTAAAATGAAAATATTTTTAATTTAAATAATAATGGGAAAGAAGATCGAATGATTAAATATTATTAGTGTTCCAAGTGTATTTAAAATATTTTTTTTTTAATAAATATTATTTTTTTAATGCAGAACACTATTCAATAAAAAAAAATTTCATATTGTTAAAGGACTAGTAAATAAAGTCCACCGTGCACGCTGCATGCTTATTAACTTCATTAATCAAATATGGCAGTATCAAATGAATTATTTACATAGATTCAACCATTATTATTATTATTATTATTATTATTTATTATTATTTATTATTATTATGATACCAAAACATTTATGAAGAAATCACATTTTAAATATAAATGCTTGGGTAGACGATAATATCACTTTAAGTGTATCAATTTTGACAATGTTTTTTTTTTTTTTTTTTTTTTTTTTAATCATTTGTACACTTTGAAAATCATGCAATTATTACATTCCATTAAAGACAAAGCTGAAATGTACAATAATAAATTTGTCACTGAATATATACTTTTTTTTCGTAAACGAATTATTTTCTAATTCTTTCACTATTGTGCTCACAGTATTTGAGATCTTGTGATAAATATAACAAAAATAATAATTTATCAATTATTTTTGAGAAAAAAAAAAAACATTTCCCTTTCTTTAAATCAATTTAACATAATTTCTTTAAGTCTTAATTTTTTTTTTTGTCAATAAAAAGTGCATCAATTTAAATGAAATCGATTTGTTTTTTCTTTATATATAAAAAAAATTATTCGATACAATCTCTCAATGATTGTATAATTACATTTTTTCCTTTTTGGTGATTTTGACATTTTTTTTTTTTTTTTTTTTTTTTATTGCACACACCGAGAGAATGATAAAAATTATACGCAATTTAAAAATTTTACATTCAAAATATGTGACTGGAAAATTTAATTTTTTTATAATATATCGATGATTTACAATTTACAACTTAGATTTTATAATTTTTTTTTGAAATAAAAAAAAAGGAAAATCACCGTGTTTTCATCAGTAGAAAAGAAAGAAAATAAGAACACATAAATTTTTTGTATTTTGAACACAATTGTGTCCGAAAATATGGTAATTTACTACAACTGCCAACCTATGAACTAACCTTAATATTGTATCTCATCTTTTCGGTAACAGAAGATAGTTTGGTAAACAAATTTGAGTCCATGTTACTTCATCTCACACTATATTTTTTCAGTCATCCTGCAATCTTGAGATAAAAAAAAGAAAAAATTAAACTTTTAATTATTCCACTTTGTTTTTTCTTTTAAAGTGAATAATTTTTTTTTTTATTTCGAATTATTGATCGCCTATTTCTAAATACCTCAAAGAAGGGTGAAAATATTTACAAAGAACCCCAAAATATTAAGAATGGATCAATATTATGGAAATTAGCAAAAAAAAACTTTTCTAAATATTTTTAGCCATATGGCGATTATTTTTCATAGGGAAAATTTATTTTTGAGTGAAAAAAATACTTTACCTATTGACTATATATAGTCTTGTTAATGATTTTGTTGGAATAATATGGTTTCTTCGAAAATGTACTTTTTAAGAGTTTCCTTGGGAAGATCATCTAACTCCATGTCAAATCTGAACGGTTCTTCCGCTACAGGCTAAAAAAGTTGTTAAAATTTTAGATTTATTTTTCGCGGGACCAAAATTATTAAATTATTTTTAAAAAGGGTTTTGGATCCTTGAAAATTATTTCTCAAGGATTGAAAATGAAAAAAAATAATTTTAATATTTTTTGGTACAGTGAAAAACAATTTTCAACGCTGAGCGTCGACGCCAATCGACGTGTATTTTTAATACCTCATCAGCTGGATCGTAATACTGTTCCAAATATGGATGAGCTAATGCATCTTCAACAACTATTCGTTTATTAGGATTAAATGTTAACATTTTATCTAGTAGATCCAAAGCTTTTGGATCTGCTTCTGGAAATAGACTCGTCCATGGTACTTTTGGTTTATATGGTAATGACTGTAGGTAACTGCGTGCCTAAAATAATTATAAAAATATGTTAAAATTTTTTTTTTCTAAATTTATCACTAGCAAATGTACTTACTTTTTCATTTATAATGCATCCGAGATCTTCGGGAGATGGTGAACCAAGTACACCTAAAATATGATTAAGTTGATCCAAATAATGTTTGCCTGGAAAAATTGCTCTTCGAGACAGCATCTCTGCTAAAATACAGCCCACAGACCAAATATCTATCGATTTCGTGTAACCCTGGAATTTTTCCAATAAAATATTTAATGTAGGAAAAAGTTAGTTTTAATTTTTTTTTTTTTTATAGCGAACCTTTGAATTTAACATGATTTCTGGTGCGCGGTACCATCTCGTCGCTACATATTCCGTGAGAAAACCCGCATGATTGTGATCTGGATCCGCGACTCTAGCTAAACCAAAGTCACAAATTTTAAGGTCACACGTGGTATTCAATAACAAATTACTTGGTTTCAAATCTCTATGCAATACATTCGCTGAATGTATATATTTGAGCCCTCGAAGAATTTGGTATAGAAAATAGCAGATGTGATCGTTACTTATTGCCTATATTAAGAAAAAAATTTTTTTTTTTATTAATTTTTGAAATATAAATTCTATTTTTTTTTTTGAAAATTAAAAAATTACCTGTGTCTTAAGTAATTTGTAAAGATCAGTTTCCATTAAGCATTGAACAATATACACATCTTTCATATGATCTATAGAGGGTGTTCTCAATATATCTCTTATATCTATTATCTAAAAAAAATAAAATATTATAAATATTATTTATAAATAAAACTAAATATAGTTTTAACTTACATTTTCATGTTTAAACCTGGTGAGGATTTTTATTTCCCTTAAAGTCCTTTGGCTATATGTTTGATGTTCAAAAGGTGAAATTTTCTTGATAGCTACTTTTGTTTTAGTAGTGTTATCATAAGCCGAACTAAAAATTAATAATTTAGATTATATTTCTGATTTTTTAAGGCAAATATTTTCGTTAAATTATAATGTATAATATTGTAAATTTATTGAACTATTTTTACTGAAAAGTAAATATAAATTTAAAATCAGATAACATAATGAAAAAAAACTGTCACTAATGTTTGTAGTTCGCCAGTGACAAAAAAAAGGGTGTGACAAAGTTTTCAAAAGTGGCGCCAATAAAATTGAGTTATTTAAATTGAAGTAAATTTATAAATGTTTGAAGAAATTTTTGACTGTTATAAAAAAAATTTCTTTCTTTTTATTGTTATTGGAAATTATTGAAAATGCCAAACAAAGTGATTAAATATACTTTTATATACATTAATTGTTTATCATATGACATGTCAAACTGCATAGATACAAAAAGAAAATGAAAGATTATTTTCATTGTGATGAAAATTAACGTGAAAATAAAACTTACACAACCATTCCATAGGCTCCTTCTCCCATATATGATAATCCTGTGTAACGAGGACCAACCTCGAAAATCTGTCCGCGAACAATTTCCGCATTTGGATTAACACTTGCTGATCCTTCGGCCGCCATTTTGGCAACTGTCTGCATTTGTATAGCTAGCAGAGCAGCCTTCTGGCATGCTTCAAGCTAGCAGCTTCAGCATAGACAATATCGACATATAGTACTGGACCGCGCACCTGGAAAACTGTGCAGTGGTTATTTCGAAAGAGAGACGAGGGTTCCAAACTCTCCTCCTTGTCTAAAAAATTTAGGACGCAGTAAGTTTTACTAATTAATTTATAATTTTCATAGAATAATAATGTTATATTTAATTTTTATATGTCTCAAGAATCCGTTAGTTAAGATTTTATTTATTGCAATTTTTAACGTTCTTTTTTTGTTTTAGATGTTCGTGGTCTGCAAAAATTTTATTTAGATAGTATAATTACTACAATGTTTTTTTAGAAAACCAAATCGTAACCAATAAATTAAGGTATATGTATTAAATTATATTTATTATGTAATATTCAGAAAGGGCATGTTAGAACGTAGGGTAGTATTTAACGTAGGGTATAGTAATATAATTTTTTTTTGTATTTGTTTTTAATATCTTTATTGGGTTTTGAAAATTAATAGCATGCAGCATGTTATTTTAACTTTTTGGTAAAGAATAGCCTAATTGCATTAAAAAAAGGCTTTTTTTTCTTCTTTTTAATCGGTTAAGGATTCTTCATTATCGGCGGGTGATATGTTAAAATTTTTCAACGAATCACAAAACTTTTTGTGTATTTTATATACACGTGGGGGCGAAAGAGTACTATCTCATATTTGTCAATATTAACCTTCATTTACCACGTGTTTGTAAAAATTCAGGACTTGTCTGAACGCGTTTTGTAATATTTTTCTGACTTCGTCCAAATTTCTATGTATCATCAGCTTTTCCTCTAATTAATTTTGAACTATTTATTTTGAAAAGTGAAAGCATGGGTGCCATAAAAATATTTTAAAGTACATATATAGAAGAGTTCACGACTCCTTTGTTGCTTTTTCTATATATCAATTAGAACGGCACCTACAATAATTGCTTTATTTATATCGGAAGAAATTAGCCCGACAGTATGATGAGTGTTTGAATCTAAATCCAAATTGATGTTCAGGTATTATTTTATTTTCATTGTAAATTTTTGTTATTTGTTTATGAAGAGACTTTATTTATGTTTTGGTAATAGCAAAATCGGACAGTAACTGGAGGAAAGGTTTTTATCTTTATCTTTCTTTTTTATTGAAACAATTTTGTCGGGGAAACTGACCACTATACTACGCTGAAAATTTTCCCACAGCATCGAAACTTTCCTGAAAATTTAGTAAATATTTACTTGCAATATTTGGAATATTTAATTGTAATGTTTATTGAAAGTTATGTAAAGATTTAAATGTCCCACTTGAAAAAATATATTTAGCACGAAACTTTCCTAAACATTTATTTAATCGGGACATTTAAATCTTTACATATAACTTTCAATAAACATTATAATTAAATATTCCAAATATTGTAAGTAAATATTTACTAAATTTTCAGGAAAGTTTCGGAGCTGTGGGGGCTCTTAATGATTCCATGACAGATGGTCCAATATTGAACCATATCTGACATAAATACGTCAATATCGGTCTAATTAATAACATGTAGCATTTACTTTGTTTGGTTACCAATACTTTTGTAATATTGTTTCTTTTTTTGTCCTTTGAATCCTTTTTCGGGATGGACATGGAGAACCGTAATGGTACATTTCTGTTGTTAGAGTCCATATTTGGTTCGTACTGAATTTGTTTATTAAACGCATGTCTTTTTATGTGATAGATTATTGGGACGTTGTTTTTGTCCTGGATAAGACCCAAGTTATCCAAATATGGAAACATTTCTGGACTAACCCTGCCTATTTTGCGTATTTTTTCAATATAAATATTATTGGGGTAAAACTGGCTAAAAATAAGACTGTTTTCTGAAATTTTTGCTGATTTTGAAATGTGGTCTCTAGTTAGTTTTATTATGAAATTGTCTATTCTATTGATATTTGCTGTGTTATATAATATTTTATTGGGGTAGCATTTTGTGAAATTTGACTCTTTTGTTCTGTAAAGCTGAGTACATGCTCTTAAACAATTTCTCTCAAACACTCTTAGCGATTCCATCACCGAAGGGCCGATATTAAACCATATTTGACCTAAGTATGTTACTATGGGCCTAATTAATAGCATATAACATACTATTTTAACTTTTTGATCCAAATTTCTGGAATGAAATAAACTATTTGCATTAAAAAAAGCGACCGTAGCTTTTTTTATTTGAATTTTAATATGCTGGTTGTATCGCATTTTTTCATCCAGGTGGACACCTAAGTATTTTACAACGGTTTTGTGATTAATCGACTCTTTATTGTCTCCGGGTGTTATATTGAAGTTTCTCCACGCAACGCAGAACTTTTTGTGGACTTTATGTGTATGAGGTCGGAAAAGTATCGTCTCACATTTTTCTATATTGACTTTAAGTTTCCATGTGTTGTAAAATTCTAAAATTTGTCGGAAAACATTTTGTAATATTTTTTTTACTTCATCCAAGTCACTATTTGTGACGTATATTATAAAATCATCTGCGAATGCTATTTAGTTGCGAATTAGTTTTGAGCTATTGATTTTAAAAAGTAATAACATCGGTGCCATAAAAATATTATATAAGATAGGAGAGTTTACAGCTCCTTGTTGCAAAGATATTCCATTAGTAGGAATGATATTTGGGATTCTGTTTGATTGTGACAAACTATGAAACTTTTTCCTTGCAATATGATATCCAGATTAGTCTTATTAAATGTTTTGGAAAATTTGCCTGTATTAATTTTTAACGGATTTTAATATGTGATCTCTTGTGAGTTTTAAAATGAAATTATCAATTCTGGTAATGTTTGCTGTGTTGTATAAAATTTTGTTTGAGTAACATTTTAAAAAGTTGGATTCTTTGGTTCTGTATAATTTAGTGCATGCTCTTAGACAGTTCCTCTCGAAAACTCTTAATGCTTCCATTACAGATGGTCCAACATTGAACCATATTTGGCATAAGTATGTCAATATAGGCCTAATTAATAACATGTACTTTATGTACGTGGGGGCGAAAGAGTATAGTCTCACACTTATCAATATTAACTTTTAGTTTCCATGTGCTGTAAAAATCTAATATTTGCCTGAATACATTTTGTAATATTTTTTTGACTTCGTCAAGATCCCTGTGAGTTACATAGATTATAAAATCATCGGCAAACGCTATTCCGCGGATTAATTTTGAACTGTTTATTTTATATAGAGAAAACATGGGTGCCATGAAGATATTATATAGAATAGGAGAGTTCACTGCTCCTTGTTGCAGACCCTCTGCAAGCAAGAACGACACTTCCAATTCTATTTGGTTTTGTGCTGTTATAAAACTTTTTCCCTGTAATGAAATCCATATTAATTTTACCAGATGTTCTGGGAACTTAGATTGTAATAATTTGAAAAGGAGACCGTCCCTCCACACCGTGTCGAAAGCTTTTTCAATATCGATTAAAACTGCACCTACAAATGAATTGTCATTGATTGCTTTATTTATATCTGAGGCAATGAGTCCTACTGCATGAGCTGAAGAATGTTTGAATCTATAAATCCAAATTGGTGTTCCGGTGTTATGTTATTTTCATCACAGAATTTTATTATTTGTTTATTTATTATCATTTCGAAAACTTTACTGATGTTAGGTAAAAGTGAGATCGGACGGTAGCTGGAGGGAAGGTTTCCATCTTTATCTTTTTTTTTTTATTGGGACAATTTGGTCGGGGATACTGACCACTATACTACTGAAGATATAAAAATTTACAAAAATATTTGTAAACGAAATCAGCAGTTTCAAAGAATTGGAGATATGTAATAATCGGATGTTTATCTGAAAATAATAAAATAATTTATCCAATGAAAAAAAAAAAAAAAAAATTCTCTCCAGCGGGGAATCGAACCCCGGTCTCCCGCGTGACAGGCGGGGATACTGACCACTATACTACTGAAGATAGGGGTACTGTAGACCTAAACTCAATATGACCCGTGATATGATGACGTCATATTCAAATGTTTACGTCAGCAATCGTCACTATTCAATTGTAATTTAAAGCCTCGTTGGCGAGCATGGACGTGATCTGTTGTTCCTATATTTGAATACTAGTGAAATTTACTTTAAAAAAAAATAGTTAAACAAATTTTAGCAAAATGCCGAAAACTATTTTTGCCCAAGACGGCTTTTGTCTCAAGTAAGTATACATAAATGTACACTATGAAATTTTACCTTATTTTATGTTGTATACACTTAAGACCATGCTTAAGTCTTCCCATGCAACACCTAACCTTTAAAAACACGAAAGGATCAATCATTCAGCTATTAAATATTTATTTGAAACCCGTTTATGTTTGAAATAAATAAATTTAACTTTTATATATTAGATTTTTTTGTGTAAAAGTAAATAAATAATTCTAAAAAAAAAATTTTTTAGCAAACAATTATAAAACTTTTATAAATTATGAAAATTTTGTGTCCGTCAGGTGCTGCCCTTTTCGGACATTTTTGTTACTACACACAGTTATCTTGTATTAATTTCAATTTTAAAATTCTTGTTCTCAAATAAAATTTCAAAAAAAGAATTGGAAATTATAATTAAGATTTTTTTTTAAGTAATTAAGAATAATAAATAAAATTAAAAATAAATTAACTTTATAAGTTAGAAAAATTGAAAGTATAAATAATTAAATTAAAAAAAAAACAACATACTAAAATTTTCTATTAATTTTTTAAAAATAATTATAGGGATATCTTATCAGATGATGGTGTTTTTTTTGAAATGAATGGAGAATTTTTTGATAATGACGAACCAAAATTTACAAATGATATCAATATGTCACACGATGATTTGATAAAATTTTTATATATGGATGAAATTGATAATAATTTAACGAATAAAATTGTCTCACCATTAGGAGTAAATTTTAATCAATTAAGAGCAAACATGACTGATCTTCTTGGAAATGGAATGGTAAAAAATAATGTTAATGAAAAAAATTTTAATTTTTCAAAAAAAAAAAAATTTAATTTTTTTTATTACAGATATTGAAATTGTTAAGAAAAAGGGGTGTAGGTGAAGAAATGCAAGAAAATGCGCTAATAACGGCAAAATATATTGGCTATTTTGAAGATCAAGATGAGCCTTTTGATGCAACTTACAATCATGAAGTATCAAATAATTTACAATTAGGAAATGATATTTTAATTCCAGGACTTGAAATTGCTCTTCGTTCAATGAAAAAACATGAAATATCAATTTTTATCATTAAACCCGAGTATGCATTTGGAAAAGCTGGTTGTCCACCACGTATTCCTCCAAATGAAGATGTTTTATTTTTAATTAATATAATTGATTATAAAACCGATGAATTTACCACTAGTTTTAATAAATTGTCAATTGAAGAAAGAAAAGCATTTTTCTTTGCTGAAAAAAGAGCAGAAGCTTTAATAGAAAAGGCTTCGGAATATTTTAGAAAAGGAAATTTCAATAAGGCAATAAATGAGTGAGTTTTAGTTAAAATATTTTTATAAAGAGCTGTGTAAATTACAATATTAATATTTTTTTTAGATATACCAGTGCTGGAAAAATTATCGAATCAGCACGTTTAGCGAATGATGAGGAAGAAATAAGACAGAAAGAATTATTAACGAGAGTTTATGGAAATTTAGCAGTTTGCTTTAATAAACAAAATAAGCCTCGTTGTGCATGTTCGGCAATTAATCAAATTCCAAATCCAAATGCTAAATCTCATTTTAAGTAAGTTTTTTAATTTTTCTGTTATTTTTAATTTTTAATTATTTTTTTAATAATCAAATTTTAGCCATGGACGAGCGCTTATTCGTTTGGGAGAATTTGGTAGAGCTCTTAAGGAGTTAAATATTTCCGAGAATATGGAACCGGGTAATAAAATGATTGCTGAAGAAATAAAATTAGTAAGTTTTTTTTAAATTATTAAAAAATCATTTTTTCGACTGTTTCTAATTTTACTTTTCTTTTTATAGATAAAACAATTGGAGTCCAAGTATAATTTATTGACCAAAAATTTAACAGAAAATAGTTATTTAATCACCGCTGAAGGTGATGTACGATTAGAGTTCATAAACGTTGCTAAAAAACTATGCCAAACATTACAAAATGATAATAATGTTTTGAGAATAATTTTGCCTAGTAGTTTAACAAATGATGAGAAATCCTTTATTACAGAATTGACAGCAAACTATAAACTAATAGTGGTTAGCCATATTAGATATGAAAAAGAAATTGTTTTCATTGCCAAGCCGAATTATTAATAACAAAAACGTAGATTAACATTTTTTTTTCTGGTTATTAACTTGGTAATGAAAATACGAATAAAAGAAAGGCATTTACTGAGCAGTATTTGCTCACAAAACTAAACAAATTCTAAGTGTACGAGTAAACTTGTTCTTATTCTAAACAAGTTGTCTTAGTCACCTGATTTGTGAGTCGGTTTTTAAAAAATTGCTAGTTTTCAGCGTCTATTTTTCTATGCAGAGGTTTTTACATTTAGCGCTCTGTTTATATTTAGCAAGCTTGAAAATTTTCAATTTTTCTAATTGCAATTGCGATTGCAATTAATTGCTCTTCTTAATTTTCATTTGAAGAGTCATTTGTCGAGATTTACGAACTATAAAAAAAAAAATTAGCGGTTCGTAATAAAGTTGTGAGATCACAACTACGATAATTATTATTATTTTCGGATAAATCCGATCATTACTAATGAATTACTTAAATATTTTGTTATATTCCTCAGTCCCTTTTTAGAGGGCAGTAATCATTATGTAAATCATAAAAATTTTATACAAATTTTTTATGGATTGATTTTCTTTTAAGAGTACAAATTGTACTCTTGTTTCATTGTATTTCAAATAAATTGGAATTTAATTGAACGCAATTACTTTCTTTTATGTAAAAAATTAAATTTAATAAAAATGAGAAAATTCATATTAAAGAATTTTATTAGAAATTTAATTATTTTTTTAGACAAATTTTCGAATTAAAATTTGACCAATTTTTTATTTTATACGAATTTTATTTGATTCAAATTTTTTAATAAAAAGAAATTCCAATTCACTGAATTTTAATTTATCCGAACTTTTACTTGTTTGAATTTTTAATTGATAGAAATTCCAATTCACCGAATTTTAATTTATTCGAACTTTTATTCGTACAAATTTTTAATTGTACGAATTTTTAATTAATAGATTTTTTAAGACGCCGAATTTTCATTTGTCCGAATTTTTTTGATTGTACGAATTCTTAATTAATAGAATTCTTAAGACGCTGAATTTTCATTTTTCCGAAATTACCGAAATCTTTCTCTCCATTGTTTGTTCGGCCAATTGTAATTTCAACAAATGAAAATTCGGCATATGAAAAATTCTATCAATTAAAAATTCGAACAAATAAAAATTTGAACAAATTAAAATTCGGTGAATAGGAAATTCTGACATTTAAAAATTCGAATCACATAAAATTTGATTGAATAAAAATTAATGCTAAATTAAAATTCTTTTGACTATAAAATAAAAATCCTGCGAAACAAAAATTCTGTAGCTAAAAATTTTTTAAAAGTAAAAATTCGTTTAAACAAAAATTCTCCCAAATGCTAATTCGAAAAATGAAAATTCCTCTAAAAAATAATTTCTAATCAAATATTTTATTTAAAAAAATGAAATACTAATAATAAAAATAAAATTAATTTTCATTTTTCGAATTATTATTTGATAGAATTTGTTTTTATACGAATTTTTCCATGAAAAAAATTGTAATTAATGATATTTATCGGATAATTTTTTTCGAAGTATTAACATATTCTAAAAATAGAAGAAAAGAGAATAATACGATTGTAGATCATTATTTATAATAAATATAATGACAAAAATAAATTGTGTTCAATCACGCAATTTTTCAAGTAAATAAGATTTCAATTCTTTTTCTTCAACTTCAGTATAAAATTTTCTTCTAATTCAAGATGAGATTGTTTATTGTGATTCTAATGTTTTCAGGTAAAATAAAAATTCTATATTACATTGGAAAATTTTAAATAACGTAATTTACTTTTTTTTAAAAGAATTTTTAAAAAATGAACATTTATTTTTCAAAGCTTCATTTATAATTATCCGAGCTGAAAATATACTTGCAAATCTACAACCAGATTCTTCTCAGGATACTTCACTGGAACAAGCAATTGTGAATGTTTTAATAAATCCATCAGTATTAATTCCTGATGATCGAGGAATTTTATCAGGTGTTTTAGATCCAATTGTTGTGCCTGAGAAAGATATAATTTTTCAACTTTTTACTAAAACAAATTCCGATGAAGCCTATATGATGAATTTAAATGATTCAGAAAATTTGAAACAATCGGGATTTAATTCTTCATTATTAACAAAAATCATTATTCATGGCTGGACTGATAGTTCACAGACACCTTGGCTTCGTGAAATTCGAACAAATTATTTAAATACCGGTGACTATAATGTTATTTTAATTAATTGGCTGGCTGGATCTGTTAAGGAATATTCGGCAGCTGCAAAAGTTACACGTCAAGTTAGCATTAAATATTTTTAATTTTTATCAATTTTTTAGAGAATGAAAATAAAATAATGTGAAAGAAAGAAAAAAAAAAAATTTTGGAAAATATTAATTAACGCTAATACAGGTTGGCGGTTACTTGGCAGAATTTTTGGAATTTCTTCAAAAAGAAGTGGATTTGGACTTGAATACAGTTCATATTTTGGGACACAGTTTAGGAGCTCATGTTGCTGGATTTGCTGGTGCAAATCTCTCGGGAAAAATTGGAAGAATTACAGGAATGGATCCTGCTGGACCTGGATTTGAGAGACCAAGATTTAAAGAGCCAAAAGATCGTCTTGACGCTTCTGATGCTGTTTTTGTTGATGTTATACATACATGCGGTGGAACTATTGGATTTGCTAAATCCATAGGACACGCTGATTTTTTTCCTAATGGAGGCACTTTCCGACAACCTGGATGTCCAATTCTTATGACTCGTTAGTGAAAATTATGAAAAAAAAAAATTATCCAAGATAGAATTTAATTTAAAAAAAAAAAAAAAAACGTTTTTCAGAATATTGCAGTCATGCAAGATCTCATCAGTTTATGAGTGAATCCATTGTTAGTCCAGAAATATTTGTATCCGTTGAATGTGACAGCTGGAAGGATTTTAAATCTGGAACATGCAATTCTAAAAATTCACCTGTATTTATGGGGGAGAAATTGAGTTACGATACACGTGGAACTTATTTTTTGGAAACCAATTCTGAATCTCCATTCGGAAAAGGTGAAACATAATTTCTCTTTCTCAAAAATATGGTACGTTTCTTTAAAATTAGTTTAATGAAATTTTATTAGTTAATTTTCATTATTTATTTAATATAAAAACTTAATGAAATACCATTTTTGATTTTTTTTATTATATTTTCATCAAACTTAATAAATATACAAAAAGATATGAGAATTTCTAAGAGTTTGGATATTGAATAACATCTAACAATAATAAAATGAATTTTATAAAAGCATTGAACAATTGTACAAATGTTCTTTGTTATATATATATATAATAATTATAATACAATTTTACATTTACGTATAAAATACTATAGAGTGCTTTTCAGGAATAAAATCTATTTTTGTTTTAGGAACTATTCGGCTTTAAATAATTTTTTTTTTTGTCATGTTTCATAATAATCACTTTCTTGGTAATTTCTCTAATTCACCACTAAATTGCTGTCTATATTTTCTTTGAACTATATCCCAGTCAACGACATCATTAATTTTAATAGTTTCGATGACTGAATGACTACTTTTTGAGCTCATTGAGTCACGCGAAACTAATGGAGAAAATGTTACACTGCGTTTATTTTCCGGTTGTGGTATCACTTTATTATTCTGAAAAAAATGAAACACAAAAATATTTTTTATAATTGAAAACTTTTAAAAAAATTTTAAATTGAATAAAATTTTTTTTCTTATGTAAAGAAATTTTTTTTTTTTTTAATTTGAGACAAAATAAACTTACATTGAATAATTTATTTCCCAAAAATCTATTTTGTCTTATAAATTTGCGAAATTTATTTAGAGGCTTTTTCGCTTTCCATTGGTCTTTTAAAAATGTATACAAATGTGTTGCCCATGTAGTTATTAGATTTAATGGCGTTGGCGCTGTTTTTGTTCTAAAATTTTTAAAAATTAATTTTTTTTGGTAAAAAAAGAATTTATTTGAAAAAAAAAATATTTACTTCTGTATAGTACGAATTAATTTGCTGAGTCCATATTTCCATTCTATATCACTTTGTGATTGAATGTGATGATATGTGTCACTCATCATGGCAATTAGCAGAGGTAACAAAACAATTACAGTTAACAGCATGTAAATTGCAAACGATATCTAAAAAATACAAATAATATTTTCGTATTAAAAATTTTGAAATTTTAATTTTTTTTTATATAAAAACTAAAATTGAATTTATATTATTAAAAAGTATTAATTAATTAATTATTAATTAGTATTAAATTAAATAATTAATATTAAATTAAATAATAAATATTAATTAATTATTTAAAATAAAAAAATAAAAATAAAAAAAATCATAAAATTTACCTTAAATAAAATTATTATCCAAAATGGTCTCTTTAAGAGTTGTAATGCAACGTCAGTAGTTTCTTTTTGACCAAAAATAGAGAAAAAAAGTTTCTCGTAAATTTCCATTGGATTCACTAATACTGAAAAAATTGATCAAATTTTTAGAATTTAAATTAATGACCTTTTTTTAGAAATTTCCTAATATATGAAGAATAAATAATCAGTATACTAATAACTACATAAGTGTACCTAAAAGTTTATATATGTACCTACTTAAAAATGAAAATTAATTTAATTATCATGCGAAAAGTAGTGATTATAAAAAAAAAAATCTAAATACTCATTACAATTTGAAAAAATCTAATAATTTGTCATATTATGAGAGAAATAAAAAAATTTCTTTTTTTAAAATAAATTAAATTAACTAAAATAAATTCTAATAATATTAGAAATAAATATTTTAAATATATATTTATAATAGATTAACATTCAAGGTGGATTATAAAAAATTTTTAATATTAAATAAAAAATAATTTAAAAAAAAAAAAACAATATTAAAAAAGTAGATACATTTTTGTCAATGTGAAGAAATTTAAATTTCTAGTGCATATAATATAAATTGTTATTAAAAGAGTGAAGAGTAAAAATATGTGTAGAAAGAGTAATATCAAAATGTTTATAAAAGTTTAAGTAAATATATAAAAATATGTAGATAGTTGTCGATTATATTTTCTATTTCTATAAACATTCCACTATATAAGAAAAATTACTTCAAAATTATGTATAAAAAATTTTAGTTTTAAAAAGCATTTCTATTTTTCCTAAGAAATAATTATACTAAATATTTTATAAAATTATTATAAAAAGAAAAAGAATAATTTTATTTTTATAAAAATTATTTAGAATTTTTTTTTTTTAATATTTCGTCAAATAAAAATTTTATTGAAAAAAAATAGATTCTTTTTCGTCTATTAATAATAATTTTATAAATATGACTAATAAGATATATACAAATGAAATTGGATTAAGGATTGAGAATATTTACTCTTTTATATAAAATAGTCGTATCCCCCATCAAATTTTGATAAAAAAAAAATTTCCAAATTCGGAAAATTTATTTATAAATTTTTGCAAAATTTTTGCAATTTATTTTTTTAATTTACCATTGTTATGAATTATCTACTAAATGCTATATAACACTGAAAATCGAATTAGTCAAGATATCAAAATGTAACGAAATTATATAAAAGTGCACACAAAATTATGTGCTATTACACTGAAAAAAAAATTTAATCAAATAATTAGTTACTTTATTATTAAATAAATATTTACCTGGAACGAAATAATTTTTAAATTAAATGCTATTTGTTTTAAATACAGAAATTATTGGTTCAAGTAAATATTTATTTGATCGGATTATTTGAATCAAATAAAATTTTTTTTCAGTGTAAATATTTCGTAATTATGAGAAAAGAAGTTAAAAATATATCTACAAACTATTTGGTACATAAGAAATAATTGAATGACGCAATCATCATATATATATATATGTCGTTCGTGACAAATGTGCATGCTGATCAAGTCTTGAGATATTACACAATTCTACAATAATAGGACCTAATTTCTCCAAGACTAATCGAATTATTATTGAAAGATGCACATGCACGCTATTTGTATTATTTTCTACGAGAAAAATTCAGCTAGAAAATAAGAAACATACATACAATATTATATACTGATACTGACTAACCGTGAAAAAGGACATCTGTCGATATTAACTGTACGCAGAGATCATTTCTTCGCTGCCTCTATAAAAACGTTGCAGGCAGAGTTAGATTTTACCAAAAAAAAAATTAATTTTTATCAAGAGGCGTACAAAATCCAATGTAAAATGTTTTATTTTTTTATGATAAACATTTTAAGTACAAGGCAAATTAAAAGGAATATCACGATGGTGTTAAAATTTTTTTTTTCTTTAAAAATTCTTTTATGTTCACAATGCTGGTACCATTTCATGTCTAGTTGAATTTGACGATGTTGGTTCCTCAAATGCCGATAAAATATCTTCTGTTGGCTCTTTAGGTTCATCAATTTGTTTTTTTGATTCAATTCCAACTAAACCGCGATATTTTCTTCTCACAACTTCCCAATCGACAACATTGTCAATTCGTGGTGCATTACTGAATGACAATTGACTGCCAAGTGGACTTAAATGAACAACAGACAATGCCACACTGTCCTTGTGTCCAACTTGGGTTTTTTTTACTTTTGACAGCCATTTTGCACCCATTTTCGAACGAGCAGACATCCTTTCGCCTCGTTGAAAACCCATCATATGTACCAGTGATGGTCGTTGTTTTTTGGCTGCTCTCTTTCGACATGCTTTACATAGATATGTTATCCATGTTGTTAACAAATTGAGTGGCGACGGCGCCGTTGTTGTCCTGAATTTGCGCAAATTTTTTTTTATATGATTTTTGTGTCATGCAATAAGCTTTACATTGATTAACAAGAATGGACGAATTTAGAGAAATGAAAAATACAGCTTATTGGAAATTTAATAGCTAATGTCATTAAATTAAGGTTTAGCCTATTATTTTGGTACGCAGCGAATAACTAACATTCGTATGACGAGGCGCATGAATTTTTTCCAAACATCAAATGGCCTAATACTTAATTGAACTAATCCTCTTTTGTACTAATTGTCATTTGTCCTAATGCTCCAATCTTAAAATAAACTAATTCTGATTTAACATAATATTTATCTGCCCTAAATCCCCTAAATTTTCTGTAACCTAATACTTTTTTAGCCTCATTTTTTATCTGAACTGATTATTACTTAAACACCATTTACCATAATTATCATTTGAAATAATTTTCATCTGGCCTAATTATCATTTGGATCTAATCTTTATAAAACCTAATTCTTAATTGGCCTAATCTCAATGTAACCTAATACTCTTTTGATCTAAACCTTATTTGATCCAATTCTCACTTGGCCTAAACTCTAAACTTTATTTGTTACCCATTCATGAACGTTATAATAATGAGAGAAAAGAAGAAAAATATGTTTTGTCACTTACTCTTTCATGATTCGCGTTTATGAGCGAGTGACTAATAAGGCCAGGTGAGAATTAGGTCAAGTGAGGATTAGGCCAAATGAAAATTAGATTACATTAAGATTAGGGGAATTGAGAATTATGTTAGATTAAAATTAGAACAATTAAAAATTAGGACATAGTAAAATTAGGCCAAATAAGAATTAGATCATGTAAATATTAGAACCAATAATAATTAGGTTTTAATATGATTAGGCAAAATTAGAATTAGATTTTATAAAGATTAGATTAAATGAAAATTAGTTTAAGCGCCGTTAGTCCAAATGATAATTATGGTAAATTGTGTATAGGCCAAGTAATAATTAGGTCTGTTAAAAATGAGGCTAAAAAAGTATTAGGCTACAGAATATTTGAGATTTAGGGCAGATAAATATTATGTTAAATCAGAATTAGGTTATTGTAAGATTAGGCCAAATGAGAATTAGGACAAGTGATGATTATTACAAATGATGATTAGGGTGCAGTCCCATGACGGCGCGAATACCGAATGCTAAGCAGAAAACCATGAGTGCAGAAGAGATGGAAAGATATCGCTATCCTTTTCACTCTCATGATTTTCTACTTTGCATTCTGTATTCGCGCCGTCATGGGACTAAGGCCTTAGATTAAATGAAGATTACGCCAAATAAGAATTAGGTCATATACAGATTAGGCCAAGTAATAGTTAGTCCATACGACTTTTAGGTCAATTAAGTGTTAGGTCAATTGAAATTTGGAGAAAATTCATACGCCTCCGTATGACTACAAAATGGTTGGATCAGAATTAAGCTGCGGGATCAAAGAAGGGCATATATAACTAATGTATAATTAAAATGGGTTATTTACCCTTCTTTAATCCGACAGCTCAATTTTATATTAAAGAAAAACTTTTCCCAATGCAGAAATCTAGATTCGTCCATCAGTGTTACTAAATAAAATAATGTGTTTGTGCCTTGGTTTAATAGCGGGTTGTGTATTATACTTTACCTGTGCATATTTCTTATCAGTTTGCTAAGACCATATTTCCACTCGATATCAGATTGTGCTTGAATCCTTTGATAGGTGTCACTCATCATGGCAATAAGTAGATTAATAAGTACAACAACCGATACCAACATGTAAATCCCAAAGGCCACCTTGAAGAGATTTGTTGTCCATGATGGCTGTTGACTGACGACCTTGAATTGTTCATGTGTCGTTTGTCCAAAGATAGCGAAGAACAATAGCTCAACTGCCACTACTGGATTCATCTTGACTGGAAATACGTGTCAACAATATTGTCTCGTAAACATGATTTGTTTTACATAATATCATGCCAAAAAATTCGAAATCGCACGCACTTATCATGCCAAAAAATTATATATATATATTTATATTTAATCGCTAAAATCTATCGTTTTGATAAAAGAAAATTATAAACTTATATTCTATTCTAAATTCGTTGTATTTACAAACAGATTCTTGCCGTATATTTCTAGGGTTACTAAAGAGTATTTTGATATAAATATATTCATATATAATAAATCATATATATATATATGGATATATCTCGACGATATTGCATCCATGCAAACTGAACTAGTAAAGAGACTTTCTATTTCTCAAAATTGTCATTACCTTTAATATTTGACATGTGGAATGAGGAATGATGTGACGTCGTGGATGATTATAGACAATGATTGAAAACATATTCCAGTGGCATGCTGATCATGAATTGGTCCACATGACATTTATTTTGGCATACAGACTTTCGTTGAGATTTTTTGTTTGTTACTTACTTAGATTCTATATTTAGTGTCTGTTGACGGGACGTATCAAAGCACCACCTTGCAAATTGTTGTTTATTTCTTTTGAAAACTATTTAGGCACAAATTTTTTAATTTTCATTTTACTTGTTTCTCTTGATAATGTACATTTAGATTTACATTTAGATTTATATTTATAATTTAGAAATAATAACAAGTATAAAAGTTTATATTGGTGGAGTTGTCGCTGTAACAGGAACTGTTGAGGCATTCGATGCAGTTGGTCCAATGTCCTCCTCGTCATTATCATCGTTTTCTTTTTCATCTTTATCGACATCCTTTTCAGGCTCACTTCCAGTGAGTGCAAGATATTTCTTTCTAATTGAATCCCAATCAACGACACTTTCAATTCTTGTTGCACTATTGAAGGACAATTGACTACCTAAGGGACTAAGGTGTACTAAGGAAAGTGCAACACTGTCCTTGGGACGAACTTGGCCTTTTTTCACTTTTGAGAGCCACTTGGCACCCATTTTTGAACGTGGTGACATTCTTCCCGTACGTTGTAAACCCATCATATGTACAAGAGATGGACGTTTACGTTTGGCTGCCCTTTGTTTCCATAGTTTGATGAAGTAAACGATCCATGTTGTCAGCAAATTCAATGGTGAAGGGGCGGTTGTAGTTCTGAAATATGTAATCTTGTGATAGTGCACTGTGATTTTTGCTTCTCTATAAAAGTTGGTGGGGGTTTTTTTTTTCTTGTGGCTTATTTCTTTTATAGGACAAAAATTGACGCATGCTTTGTACATAAAAAGTTTTGCAGATGACAGACAAGCAAGTTTAAGCAGAAAGCTTTTGTTCATGAAATTAAGAAACTTTCTGTTGAAAAAATTAGGTATTCTTTGGGAAAATAGGAATTCACTATAAACTCATTGGGCGTTTTATGCAGATGCTCGACCAGAAGTGCTTTGGGGCTTTGCTTTTTTGATTGACTCGATCCAATGGAATTAATAGATGATTGGACCATAAAATGCTCCTGGAGCATCTGCAGAAAACGCCCATTGAGATAAGTTATCATGGAGTTTACAGGAGATTTCAATGATTTTGAAACAGTATAATGGATTTTAGAAGAAAAAGATGGATATAGAAATTAGCTATACAGATTTTGTAAAACGAGAATTAAATATTTTGATTTGGTATTATTTTAAAAGCAGAGGAATAGATGCACAAAAATTATTTGCAAAGGTTAGTTTATATAGAAATTATATCTGATGAAGAAGTTATCATCTAGACCCAAAAAAAGCCAAATGATTAGAGAATTTTGTTTCACTATTGTAATTATAGAATTGAATTTGAAGCAAAAGTAAAAAAAAAATGGTGCTTACCTGTGCATATTTCTAATAAGTTTACTGAGACCATATTTCCATTCAATGTCGGACTGCGCCTGTATCCTTTGATAAGTGTCGCTCATCATAGCAATAAGCAGATTAATTAACACCACTACTGAGACCAACATGTAAACACCAAAGGCCAATTTGAATAGACCCGAGGTCCATTCTGGTTGCTTGGACTCGACCTTGAGCTCGCTGTGGGTTGTTTGACCAAAGACAGCAAAGAAGAGATACTCGAAGGCAAGTACAGGATTCATCTTTACTGGAATTCGAGGCAACGAAATTTTTTTTTTTTTCGGATATTTGTTAAATTTCACTCTCTACGCGCGTGTACGAAAGAACATGCTCATGCTACACGGAAAAATTTATGCCATGCTCGGGCTTGTTGATAAAATTGATGCGATGCATGCGACGAACAGAAGACATCGCTTTTTTTTTGCACATCGATGAGCGTGCGTCACATCACTTTTTTTTTTTTTTGAGGGGAGAGGATTTCGTAGATCCGTGCAAAAAAGACACATTCGCTATCTCGACAATATTGTTGCATTTCAGCAGACAGCAAGGCTCAATATTTTGATATAAGTATATGGAAGAAAGTCAAAACACATGAAAAATTCGTGCTCATTCCGCGATACAAAAATCGCCGCATTTCATTGGCTCAAAATCATTCATTGATAAAATTCGCTAATTCATTTTTTTGTATACCACTTGTATTCCTTGAGGAATGTTTTTTGTCTTCTTCAAAAAAATTTTGTCATCATTGTCGTCCCTGTTGATTATTATTATTTTTTTTTTTTTTTGGCAAAGTGGTGCTCTTTTCTGTGTTATTGCACAAAAATGTGCAGCATGCATTAGTAACAATCTTTCTCTCTCGCATTCTCTCGTTTCCTCTCCTTGTCTGTATGATTTCGCCAGATCCCTTTGTTTTTTTTTCTTACTTTTCTTGTTTTTGCTTTTTAAAAACACTCAAAAGACAAACTTCAAACACGTGAACATGCAAGTTATGTATATGTATATATATGTATATCAAAAGTCGATAGCTTGTTTCGATCGATTGATTCGGACTTACAAGAAACAGAACGCAGTGATGATCAATTAAAAAAAAAAATAGTGCGCTTACAATCCGGATAAATGTTATATATATATATATGGGCATGATGTACATCATACATGTAATTTGAACCCTTTTCACTGGAAAAAAAAATTTAAGACAAATAATGAATAACTTGAGTATCATCTGATAAATAATTATATAATTATTATCATTATAGACTCGGGAAAATTTATTTGATATTAAAGTAATTCATTATTGGGCAAAAATTATTTCTTTTTCAGTACAGCGATGCGCTAAAAGACATGGTTTAAATAGCGATGCGCTAATGTCGTACGAGCATAAAGATGCACACACATTCCAAAAATGCAGGTCGTTTCTGCATTCGAGCGTTGAGCTGTGAACAATTTTTTCTTTTTATTTTCATTAAGAGCACCTGGGAAATGTTTTAGTAAAATTCCGGGTTTTTTTTTAAAAACAATAAAGTAAAATAAAAAGAAACAAAATCTGAAAGAACAAAAAAAAAGGTTGGTTTGTTAAAAAATTTGTTTAAACAAAATAATAATTTATCTGTTAGAAAAATAGTTTCACAAAATAAAGGAGATGCTGGATAAAATTTCTTTTTTTTTTTTTTTTTTTTTAAATTCAGGCATTAATTTTAGCATCAGGCAATAACAGACGCGCTTACACCGGTCAAAATGCATTTAACAGACGAAACGACATCGAGGGTGGAGCAAGTCCTGCATTCAGAGTGTCGATTAATCATCGGCATCCTGTAAAACTTACAATCTCGGGAGCTTTCGTCACAACAATCATTCTTTTTCTTATAGCGTCCGGAGCGACGACCTAGTGACGTAGGTGGAGGCGTCATTATCCATGACGTTAAAACCTCGGTAACACCGGGCATCGTCAATTCTAACATTGAAATTAATATTGTTACAAACCTAAGAATTTTATTTATATTAAAGAATGAAAATTGATTTTTTTTTGCTTAGAAATCAACCTCAAAGGGAATTCTATTCTAAATACAAAGCTTCTTCTATTTTAGGAAGCACACCATCAATTTTTCTATAATAAAAAATCAATTTGTCGAGGACTGCGTGCGACACGATAATAACATATTTTTTCAGCTGCGTTGTACCTTGAGGGATTAAAAGACCTAATTTTCGGTTAGTGATTACATATAAAAGAAAATACAAAAACTCAAAGTAATAAATAAGCAAAGATCATCTCTGAGTGATCAATTTTTTCCATAATTTCGGTTTAAATCTTTTTATCATAAATGTATAAAATTCATCACTCAGTTTTTAACTATGCTCATTATTACCACTACTTGCTGTAATCAAACCATCATTTTTTTTTAAAAAAAATACTAACTACATTACTTTTAAATATTAAAAACGGCTCTGGAGGTAACAAATAATACTAAATTTTACAGCAAGCCACACGGTCTAAAATTTGTTACCTCTAACAAGAAGTAATCTTGGGAATCTAAAACAACATTAGTAAGCAATAAAAATATAAATGTAACACTTACCATCTGAAAAGTTATTCTTCCTTTTACGATCTTCAGCTCTCGCCTGCTCCCAAGATTGATTTTCAAATGCTTGATTAAGAGCAACAAAATGCATGGAGAATCCAAATACAAATATGGCCAAGACAGCCAAAAATCTTGCCAGATCCTTCATTAGATTACCAATAATGATTGCCCATGGTCCAAAGAGATGATGAAAAGACAGGAAGTCCAAGATTTGTACACAAGCCAATAGAAAACTTAAGGCGAATAATTGATTTCTTAAGTACAATAATGTTGGCCAATAGGGTCGTTTAACAATAACAAAACCTAATAGATGAAAGGCAACGCCGAATATTCCAAAAAGCAATACAGCCAATTTTATCCAGCCAAGACCACTTTTGTCACTGGGATTTGTCAATTCAAAAAGCAATAATCCAGAGAGCATCACTAAAAGACAACATTCGTACCAATAGGGCACAAGGGCCTCTCTAACAACTGGATAAATTGGCGTGATACCCACTAACAATAGAAACACCATTAAATATATGTGTGATGTTAAATAGGACATGAATTTTATAATCGGCACATTATTGTACTTGTGGCCAAGTGGTAGAGCAAAAACCACCCAAACTGGTGGACAAACAAGAAATGCAATAAAGAGTAAAATTGTCCGAAATGCATTCCAATTTAGACTACCTTGCCACAATTCTTGAAGATAACGTTGCACCACTGTATGGGCAATAACCTCCTTTTGTTCATTTTCAATAAGAACATCTAGAAATTCCACATTCCTTCGATCCATTGATGTGAGAATTCTCCCAGCCGAATCAGCGCCAGCTGCAAGAGCTAACAATTCAGTGGCCATTGTTTCACATTGTTTACCAGCGGCAATTAAATCTTTTGCTCTCTCCTTTTCTTTTTCCGATAGTTTCATATAAATATTGGATAATTTTGCTGCTGTATCGACTGGCGCTGGCGAAACGAGGACAAACTCCTCAATTGGCTTATTGTTGTGACTCTTGCTGCAAATCATCATGTTGTAGACAAACTGCAAGTGAAAGAAAATGAAAAATAAAAACTCATGCAATAGACAGAGATTGCATGTCAAATATATTTAAAATATACAACTAAATTTCGCAATACGGTTTGAAAATCGTCACAACATTGCGTGATTCAATGACGTTTGGTAGGAAATTTATGTTTGGGGTCATGTTGAGGAAAATAAATATTCTTGGAGGGTTTGACGCTCCCCAAAATCAGAATAGGTACTTACTCTCTTGTCTTCCATTAGAGCATAGGTGTCGTGCTCCTTTTCCATAAGGTATTTGAGAACATCATTGTGACCTTCTGATGCAGCAAACCAAATTGGTGCACTGCCAAGATTTGTTTCACTTTTTGGTGAAGCTCCACTTTCAACAAGAAGTTTCACAACGTCAAGATAACCGGCTCTCGCTGCACAATGCAATGGTGTCCATCCATTTTTGTCTGTTGCATTAATTTCTGCACCTTGACCTAAGAGAACTTCTACCATTTGATAATGACCATGTGTAGCAGCAATGTGAAGTCCCGTCTTTCCATAACGATCAGCGCTGTGCAATAATTCTGCCGATCTACTTAAAAGAAGACCCACCACTGTAATATGTCCACCAAAACATGCGAGATGCAATGGATTGAAGCCATTTTCGACTGTTGATGCATCTACCTATTGTAACAATAGTAGCAAAAAAATTTCGTGACATTTAGTTTTGGATAAAATGAAAGGAATTAAAATTAATGGACGATTAGTGTACCTGAACTCCTGCGGAATTTAGAAGTAATCGAACGACATTTTCATTTCCAGAATAAGCCGCAAGATGAAGAGGCGTCATTCCTGATTCACTTCCCAATTCACCGACTAATGATCCTCCAGTCGGTGGATCAGACTTTACAGTTCCAGGAACGTGTGTCAGTAACTCTCTCACGGTATCTGAAACAAAATCAATTACGGTATACATGTACATGGCATGGGTGAAATTAATTTTCAATTCACAATAAAACTTTCTGATTTTTCCAAGTTCCAAGAGAAATTCCAATTTACATTAATTTTTCTTATTTGTAAAGAACTCTCGCACAAGCATAAAGAAAATGAGAATTGATTTAACCTGCAAAAAAAAGTAACACACACACGCTTTTTTGCAATAGAATTTTATGAGGAAAATAAAAATCAGAATTATTATGACGGTATTCCACGTGGTTCAACAGTAATATAATCACAAAATTACAATCTGACTTTTAAATGTGTGCGCATGAGCCATTTACTTTTCTATAAAGATTTCAGATTTCTCGGACCCTATGTGTATACGACGAGTTAGCCTCTGAATAAAAAACTTTTGTGCCTATCGTGCAAATTATGTGAGACCTTGACGCAAGGTCTACTAATCTTTAAATTCAATCGTTTTCACCCGGCTTCGTCACGACACTTTCAAATTGTTTTGACTTCTTGCAAAAATCTTTGCCTAAAAGTTTTGTCAATGATTTATTTTCATTACTTTAATCACGATTAGAAAACTCACAATCTTTATATTTATATATAAAGAAAAAGGGAATTTAAAAAAGTTTTTTACAATTTCGTTGATTTATGTATATGCAAATATATTTATTGATTTACATTATTAACAAAATAGTAAATTTTTTTTATTCCTTCTATAAAATTCTTTGTTTGTATTAATAAATATATAAGACCAATAAAGTCTAAAATAAAAATTTGAATTTCAATTATCTTATAATTAAAATTGCTTTTCTCTAAAAGATATTCCAGGTCGGAAATTCCTTTTTTGTAACAATGAAGACATTTCCGCCTGACAGAACGAAATCCATCACTTTTAATTTTAAAGTTCAGTTAACAGGTTAAAGTTCAATCAACTAAATGCTTTTTCAATTTAACACACTCGTTATTGAGAAGGATAAAGTTCAGTTAAAATTAGAGTTTAAAGTTTTGGGCTATTTTGGCATTATTCTGGCACCAATCCCAAAATCCATTTCTATACGTCATAAATAGTAAACCTCATCATGTAAACATGAAAGCTGACTCTCAATGAATCAGTTTTCTATATTCCCTTAGGGCAAAAAGCTATGATTGATAAATATGTAATAAAGCTAAATTGCGTGATGCGTTTTCCTTATTAGAAAATCTAATAATAAGGGCGTAACGTCAAGTCGAAAGGTGTCAGAGAGGGATTGCCGGTTATGCAGTCACGCGAAACCCACTTAATCGCTTCTGTTGTACGATATCATGTTGTAAAACTGTTTTTTTTATGTCATCAGTCATGAAAACAATCAAGAATTTCATTTATTGTGTACAGATTTCTTCATCACTTTATCAAATAAATCTTAAAATTGACGATGAAATTAATTTATTTCTTCATTATTCACTATCAGACTATTACTTGTTTTATTTTCAAACATACTTGTAATCTTTATATGTTTGTTAACTTTTAACATTTACAAAACTTTAAATTTATTTTTGAATTTCAGGCAAAAGGCTGAAACTTTTTTTTTACACAAAAAAAAAATATATTTATCTATGTAATTATGCCCTTAACGTTCAAATTTTATGATCTTTGACAAGGTAACAAAATTGTTGCTCTATTTTTGTATGACGGTCAATAGGTCAAGTTCACTCTAGCCCTTATGTACTACAATCTTGTATTTTGAATCTCAAATCTATATAGATTTATTCTATTCACTGTGTAATTATTACAAAACAATGAAGAAAACTCAAGAATATTTATAAACGGTTTTATAATAATTTGAAGAAAAATATTTTGTCATTTCAGGAAAGGAATATAAGGCAACATATTCCTTGGAAAAAGGCAGATGGCCTAGATTATTACCCTTTCCGTGCATTTACTGCCAGAGGTGGATTGTGTGACCGAAGGAAATTTGCAATTCAACGGGAGTAAGATACCTAGCATAAGAAAAGCTGATAATAATTTTTATGGACTCAGGTTTTATTCCTGGAAGTAAATGTATAGGAAACTTAAATTGTACAAGTTGAAATATAATTTGAATTTTATCCAAATGTAAATCCCATTTTATCTTTTCATATGTCATAATAAGCCCCATTAATGACGATTGGAATCTTTAGGTTAGATTTTTGCTTTTGAAGTAAGTTCTGAAGATAAAATTATTTTAGATTACATTTAGAACTCACCTGCTTGACCAAAATAGGCAGCCACATGAAGAGCTGTGACACCGAGTTTTTTACTGGAAATTCTTAATGATTGAGAGGATCTCATAACTTCTAAAACTTGACCATGTCCATGTTGGGCAGCAAGATGAACAGCAGTAAAACCAGCTCTATTTTCATCAGCGCAAGAAGCACCAGCTCTTACTAAAGCTTTAACAACTTCAGCGTGACCACCTTCGGCAGCTAATTGAAGTGGCGTTGCTTCTGTTAATTTATTTCTAGCGGAAATAACACCCTGTCTATCAAATTTCATCAATTCCTCAATGACACGAACACTTCCTTGCATTGCTGCAATATGCGCACACGTATTACCATCCTTGGTACATGCCATCACCAAACTCGGATGCCTCTGCAGAAAGAGTTGAGCAACTTCAGCGTAGTTGTTCATCGCAGCTGCATGTATTGGCTTCTGGCCCTGGTCATCGGTTGCGTCTATGCTGGCGCCTAATTCAAGCAACAGCTTGCACACCTCCAACTGACCAGCTCCAGCCGCCAAATGAAGAGGAGTCTGTTTTTTGAGTGTTAGCACGTCTATTGCCGCTGCATGATCTTGTACCAAAAATCGAACTAAATGAGTATAACCATTCATGGCAGCAAGATGAAGAGCCGTTCTTCCAACACGAGATTTTGAATTAATAAATGCTTTATTGGCTAAAAGAGCATCACAAACTTGAAGATATCCATGCTCGGACGCTAAATGAAGTGCCGATCTACCCTCAAGATCAAAAACATCAACCCTCGCGTGATTTGCCAATAGATTCGTAACCAATTCCATATGGCCCCGATGTGCAGCAATCAGCAAAGGCGTCCAACCAACTGCATTCTGTCTATTCAAAGCTTTTTGAACCTCCGTTGCTGACATATTGCTAATCATTTCCGATAGCACTTCATTATTACCCGCCACGGCACAATGATGAAATGCAGACTCTTGAGCTAATTTCGTCTGTAGAGAAACATCGGCACCACCTTCGAGAAGTGCTCGAATCACTGCCCTATCATCACCAGGTGTTCCCACATCGGGTGGTTCAATTTGAGCTGCATAATGAAGTGCACTTGCTCCTTCATTTGTTACACTATTAACATAAGCCGTCGCTAATTCCTGTCCTTTCTTCTCCTTGACGAATTCAATCAAATGTCGAACCACATCTGCTCTACAACCTCTACATGCTAAATGCAATGGTGTCTCTCCACTCTACAAAAATCATGACTATAAAAAAAAAGACAATTTTCCTCTAAAACAAAAATACAATATTGAAAATTTCATACTTTGGACTTAAACATAGGATCTCCACCATCGTCTAATAAGAGTTTAAGTGTTGCCAAATTTCCATGACTAGCTGCAACGTGTACCGGTGTTTGTCCATCATCTGTTGTCAAATTTGGACCAGCGCCTGATTTTAGTAACATTAACGCACACCTGTCGCCATCTGGGACTCTGGCAGCTATGTGAAGTGGCGTCTCACGAAGTTTTCCACCTCTGACGTGCACCTCTGCACCGTAACCCAAGAGAGTCTCAACAACGGCAGGTTTCGCGCTTTCCACAGCGATATGCAATGCGGTATAATTGTCATTTGTAGTTGCATCCACCTAATTATTTTCAATTCGAATCATTCTGAAGAAAATTTTAGGATATACGATATACGAACCTTTTCCCCACGTTGAAGTAAAGTACTGATGATTCCCACATGTCCATATTTAGCAGCCGTGTGAATTGAACGAGCACCTCGTTTATTGGGCATATGAAGGTAGACACCCTTTTTGAACAACATGGTGGCACATTCTGAATGACCATTCAATGATGCTATATGCATTAAAGTCGAACCGTCTTTGGTCCTCTCGAAAATGCTTGCTTTAAATTTATCAGCGAGCAATTCGATTATTGAAGCATGGCCATTTTCAGCAGCCAAATGCATAGGTGTACGATCCTGATGATCGGTTATTGCAGCGGAAGCCCTAACACCGTAGAAATATTTTACTAGAGTTTCATCACCTTCAGCACTTGCAATATGAAGAGCTGTTTGACCCTCTCCCTGAAAACAAAAGAACTCGGAGACTATAAAGAAATCCGTAATACTGTCGCGAAAGCATTCTTGAAACTGATGAGAAAAATCCAATGTATTTTTGACGCATTTAAATAATTATAGCATGGGTTTTAGGTCCCACAAAAACTGTAATTACATAAATTAAAGTATGCACTGGAATTTACTTTGTATACCCTTTAGTTAGAAATATGCAACATGGAATTTAATCTTTCTTGACCTTTTGAAAAGGCTTATCGTGATGGTTTCTTTACAAAAACCATTTTGTTTTTTAAATACATTAATTTATAATCATAGAGAAGAAATATAATGGCATTAAATTTTTAAAGAATTAGAATTTTTCTGATAACATGCTAATTTTATTTTTTTGAAAAATGCTTACATTCTGCATGTCCACTGTAGCACCATAATCCACAAGAATTCGAACCATATCGACGTCTCTTCTTCTAGCTGCTAAATGTAATGCGGAATCACCTGCAGGTGTTGTGGCGCGAAGTTGGTCTGAAGCCTGTTGGGCTAAAAGTTCTCGACACATGGATTGATTACCAGCTTCAACTGCGAGAAGAAGAGGAATTTTGCCACGCTATTTAGAAAAGAAAATTTTAATATAATTACAGTTTTAGATATAAAAAAAATTGTTTCCTAAACAATTGGGACTAATTATCAAAAAATATTGAAGTATTCAAATATTTTTAATCTAATTATATAACTAATGAACCAGTGCTAAACTTTTCCATAAGTCGAAACACTTTGATGATTTCGTGACACAAGTTACTATATACAACATGCATTTTATTGATTTTATAGTTTATGTTCTGTACAAATAGGAAACCAATTCTAAAGATTGCGGAAATAAAAAAAGAATCTAAAAATGACAGAAATATTCAAGATGAAGATAAGATGAAGATAAGATTCTTCAGATTTCAAAGAATTGGATAAAATCACACAATAATTTTGAAGACCTATCAATAAAGAAGAATATGAAAATAGTATAAAGAATCAGGTTTAAATTCTATTGAAAAATATAGAATTGAGATTTAATTAAATACTTCAATAAAATTAAGAAATATTAACTTTGCAAAGCTATTAAAAAAAAAACAGGCTTAAAACTTGAACCTACTCGTGCATCCTCAACAGTTTTGAAAGCCTTCCTCCAAACGTTGGCAACACCTGCCAAAAGTTTATTCTTGTGTATAAAGTCAATAACATGCACATCAGTTCTATCATGAATTCCATCGACTTCATCCGGGTATTTTCTAATGGGCATGTCTTCATATCGAGAAAATGGCTATTTTTCTAAAAACTCGAGACACTTTTCTTTTTTTTTTGTCTATTTAAGAAAAAAAAAGTTGATGAAGACAGTTGAAGAACTCGCGATAGACTAAAATATGCAAGTGTTAGGATGAGCTTTGCGCTGGAAACTAACACTCGCAAAAGAAATGCATTTGTCGGTCGAAGGGCATAGCTCGATTACAGATTATTCTAATGGGACGTATTCTCATATCTTCTCGTGTTTCTTGGCACTCTCTTCGACAGTCAATATACGAACGAAGAAAATATATATAAGTTCAACGTTTACATATGGAGCATTGGCAAAAGCATTACAAAAAACTAGAGAACAAAAAAAGTAAGGGAAAAAAAAGTTGATGTCGATGAATAAGAATACGAGAAAGAGAGAGAGAGAGAAAGAGAGAAGAAGAAGAAGAATTATATGGTGAACTCGGTGCCAGGCTGTGATACCTAGCTAACCCTTGTCACGCGAGCTATATGCAGCAGCTAGAGCTTTCAAAATGGAACCATCATAGAAAAAATCTTTATCTGCTAATTCAAACTTTTACCTCTGGGAGCTATGCCCTTAACCACGCGAAAAAATTTTCTCTCAACGAAATATTGTTTAAAATTTCAACAGTAAAAATTTGAAAAAAAAATTTAATACTCTCTAAATATGAATATTTTACTGAATTTTTCATTTCAGTTTGCATTTGATTCGTTTTAGTCAAATTTTTAATTGAATTTCAGTTATATTTCACTGAAAATCAGTAGAATTCTTTATTTATTAGTCGAATCTGTTTTACTAATTAGTGATAATGCAGATTCAATTCAGTCAAATCTGTTTTACCGATTAGTGATAATGCAGATTTATTTCACTCAAATCTGTTTTACCGATTAATGATAATGCAGATGGTCTGTTTAAATCTGTAATAATTCAACTGATATTCAGTGGGAATGTGACTGAATTTCAATTATAATTCACTGAAAAACAGTAGAATTCTTTACTTATTAGTCGAATCTGTTTTACTAATTAGTGATAATGCAGATTTAATTCAATCAAATCTGCTTTACCGATTAATGATCATGCAGATGGTATATTTAAATCAGTAGAATTTATTTTCTCATTAGTCGAATCTGTTTTACCAATTAGTGATAATGCAGATTTAATTCAATCAAATCTGTTTTACCGATTAGTGATAATGTAGATTTATTCCAGTCAAATCTGTTTTACCGATTAATGATAATGCAGATGGTCTGTTTAAATCAGTAATAATTCTACTGATTTTTAGGGCAAATGTGACTGAATTTCAATGAATTAATTTCAATTAATTAATTACAAATAAATTATACTCACTCCGTCAACTTTAAGTCTTATGTCTCGTCCTGCAGCTCCTAATAAAGCTCGAAGTATCGAAGTTGCAGTTCCTGTTTGTCTTGAAGCAACAAGATGAACAGCCGTTTGATGTCTTGGCTGTTCATGTCAAAAAAAAAAATACAAAATTAAAACAAAAATAATATAAAAAAAATTACAAAGAAAATAATATAAATATTCAATTAATTTAAATAAAATTCATACATACCCCACCAGTTACATAGGGATCGACACCCTTTTTTGACAATAGTAATTTGACAACATCTTCTCTAGAATACATAGCCGCAATGTGAAGTGCATTATAATTATCCTGCAGGTAAATAAAAAAAACAAAAATTTCATCTTTTTTCAAATAGTTTTTTTTTTTATTATAAATTTTGTTATTTTATTTTTTGTTTATAAAATAAATATTATTTTTAAAAAATATTATATATATTAAAATTTAATTCACTTTGTATAGTGACTTTATTTGAGTGAAATAATTTTTTTGACTCTAAAAATCTATTTGGGTTAAAATATTGCAAAACCTTGAAATTGATTTTTAACCATTTGAATGATGATTTCAGCTAATACTATATAGAAAGAAATACGATGTATGGATGGTAATCAAGTAATAAGGTCGTGCATTTTGCCGCACCCGTCATTAACCGAAAGAACTTTAACTATATGGCTTATGGTCGTTTCAATCACGGTCCATTAGCATGCAATTTGAAAATTATATTGAAATTTCTTATGGGAGCGGTGCTATTCATAAACACTTGATTTTTAATTTCTAATTTCTACATAAAGCGTCTAATTACAGCTATAAACTGTATTTTTTAATTTCAATTTCTTTTTTCAAATTTCAAATAAACATTTAATTGTATCAAAAAAATATTTATTTGTATCAAATAATTTTTATTTGAATCAAATAAACTGTATTCGAATAAATAATTTCTGTATTTAAAATATAAACTTTTAATTTATTCAAATAATAATTATTTGGTACTAATGAATAATTATTTGATACAAATAAATATTTATTTGATCCAAAGAAATATTTATTTAATACAAATAAATATTTATTAAATCGAAAAAAAAATATTTATTTAATAATAGTAAAGTAACTAATTTTTTGAATGAAATATTTTTTTTGTATATAAAATTCTTCTAAATATATGTAAAAATTAAGATGCATAAAAAAACAAAAGGAATAAAAGTTTGACAAGATAGAATTTGAACGATGTATATTTTTTTTAATTAATTTATTTGTCAAATCAATTAATAATTACAAAAATTATAAATATTGTTATATTATTTCAAAAATTTAGAAGGTAAAATTTTTTAATTAAAAAATTTTTTTCTTTGTATAACTGGATTTCCATGTAAATCGAAAAATGATAATTTAGATAAAATGATAATTAAATTATTTGAAATTTCTCTGAGTTTATTGTTGCTTATATCCAAACTTTGTAATTTTGTGAGATTCTTAAAAGTTTCACTGTTTAATAAAGAAAAATGATTATTATTAAGACCTAGATACTTTAAATTAATCAAACTTTGAAATGAATTATTTTCAAGTTTCTCTAACATGTTATTATTTATATACAATGATTCGAGATTATTCAAACCTAAAAATAAATTCCTTGGCAATGATTTCAATTTATTGTTATCTAAATTAATTTCCCTTAAATTTGTACAATTTTCAAATAAATTTTCTGGTAAATTTTCCAATTTATTATTATTTAAATCAATAAATGTTAAATTATACAAATTTTTAAATATTTTTTCTGAAAGATTTAACAATTTATTATTTTTTAATAATAAAATTTGTAAATTATTTAAGCCAATAAATAAATTTTCAGACAATGATTTCAATTCATTGTTACCTAAATTAATTTCCCTTAAATTTGTACAATTTTCAAATAAATTTTCTGGTAAACTTTCCAATTTATTATTATTTAAATAAATAAATGTTAAATTATACAAATTTTTAAATATTTTTTCTGGAAGATTTAACAATTTATTATTTGAATAATAATGAATGCCGCTAGGTGGCAGCTACTAAACACGTGTTCACATGTGTCTCGGTTGATTTTGTTTAAATAAAACGGTTTAAGTTTGGTCTGTTCTTTTACAACCTTATAGTTATAAACATTATTTTGTGCTGGTTTTTAGTGAAAGTTTTTTATTATCTGCACCATTTGCCTTAACTTGGCTCTCTGATTTGAATTTTTTCTAACCTAACATTGGACTGATATACTTGTTTTTTGTTTATTAACTTCAATTGAAACTGCTTTCGCTCAACTTACTTTTTATTTTTATTTGAATGATTATTTGTGTGCAAAAATGGCCTCTAGTGTTGAAAATTGTGCAAAATGTGGTAAAGATATTACACGTGCTATTCCTACTTTGTGTAGGAAGTGTAATCTTCCTTATCATCCCAGCTGTGCGTTACAGCTGTCTACTTTGCCTGATGGGTCGTTCACCAAATGTTGTAAACCTAGGTCATTGTCTCCTTCAAATAATTCTCAATCTTCACAAACCTCTGTTAACTTGGATAGTATTTTGAGAGCTATTAAGGTTTTATCAACAACAGTTTCTGATAATTTTGCCAATATGACTGAAAACATGTCAGATATCAACAAAAAGCTCGATGACACACTGTGTAGGCTGAGTAATATGGAAAGCAGAGTTGTTGATTTGACAGAGCGTCTTAATGTTGTTGAAGAGAGACTTGATAAATCTGAGGCAAATGGTTCTACAAATATTGATTCTAATTCAGTAACTAATGTCTGTATAAATGAACTTGTTGATCGAAATGAAAGAAAGAACAATCTTGTTTTATTTAATCTTCCAGAATTTGACACTTCGTCAAATAATAGTTGTTCTTTGAAATCTGTGGTTACGAATAAATTAAAAAAATTCATTCAAACAGATGATCTTGAAAATATACGCACATTTAGAATGGGTTCTAATGCGCAGGTTTCTCGTAAGCCTCGCCCTGTTAAGATTGTATGTGAGACGGAAGAGAAGGCACAAGTAATTCTAAAAAAATTTGTAAGTGTCAAAAGAGACTCAACACGTTCAAGGGAGTTGGAAGATCTTTGGATGTCGAATGACAGGACGGTTATGCAGAGGGAGGAGATTAAGAGAGTGAGGGAGGAACTAGAGACCCGTCGATTAGACGGAGAAATGAATGTGTCAATGGTCTACCGGCGTGGAATCCCTACCATAATTAAAATCCCCCCTAGAAATCGCACATCCACTCTTACAGTCCAAATAGATGCGTGTAAGGAGAATCTATAGTGATTTCCCCACTTGGTGCCCAAGGTTGTGTCCCTTCCTTGAGATAAACTTATTTTATTTCTATCTATGAAAGTGATTTAAGGAAATACATATAGAACTAAATGTATACATTGTGATTTAGAGAAAATCAGTATTATTGAACAATAACAATTATTTTTGAAATTAATTGATATAATGGTAAAGCAGATTCTATTTATCGAAAATTAATCTTCTCTTTTGATAATAATGTAATTTGATTTATGTTATTCTTTACTGTATAAACTTATAATGAACTTTAGCCATTATAGCGCCTACCTAGATTTAGTTAATATTTTATATTTTGTATTGTTACTTACGTAACTATTAGAATTTAGGAGTACTTTTGTACGAAAGGGCATGTCCCGTTATGTTCTAAATAAAATAAAATAAATAAAATAAAATTTTTTAATAATAAAATTTGTAAATTATTTAAGCCAATAAATAAATTTTCAGACAATGATTTCAATTCATTGTTACCTAAATTAATTTCCCTTAAATTTGTACAATTTTCAAATAAATTTTCTGGTAAATTTTCCAATTTATTATAATTTATATAAATAAATTTTAAATTATACAAATTGTTAAATATTTTTTCTGGTAATAATTTCAATTCATTGTAGGACAAATCAATAGTTTGTAATTTACTGTTATTTTTAAATAAATTATGTGAAAGTGTTTTTAATTGATTTTTATTTAAAAATAATTTTTTTAATTTCAATAAAGTACCAAATGTATTCTCAGAAAGTGTCATCAATAAATTGTTGCTTAAATATAATTCTTTTAGTTCTAAATTATTTAATAAATTATCAGGTAAATATTTTAATTTGTTATTTATAAGTTTGATGGAAACTATTTTTTTACAATTTTGAAATAAATTTTTTGGGAGATTTTTTATATTATTATTGTCCATTATTATGTATTTTAATTCTTTTAAGTCTCTAAATAAATTTTCAGTTATTTGTAAATTTTTATTATTGCTTAGATCCAAATTTTTAAGATGATTTAAATATAAAAGATTGTCAGATATTGTAAGTAATTTATTCCTGTTGAGTTTAATATATTTTATCATTTTGCAATTTTTAAATAAATCTTTTGGAATTGTTATTAATTTATTATCACTTAAATCAATTTCCCGTAATTTAATTAATTCATTAAATGCATTATTTGAAATATTTTTTATGAAATTACTGTTTAAGTATAAATAATTTAGATTTATTAATTCAGAGAATAGATTATCGGATAATGAAAATAAATAATTATTATTAAGATCAAGTAGAATGAGATTTTGTAAAATTTTAAATAAATTGTTTGGTAGATTAACAAATTCATTGTGATTTAGATACAAGTATTTTAAGTTATTCAAATTTGCGAATATTTTCTCCGAAAGTGTTTCTAATTTATTATTACCAATGTTTAACGAAGTTAGATAATTCAAACCAAAGAATAAGTTTTCAGGTATTGAATTTAAATTATTTTCTTCCAAATTAATAAAATGTAAGTTAGTGCAATTATTAAATAAATTTTCCGAAATAATTTTTATTCGATTCATCTTAAATGATATTTGCCTTAAATGTTTCAACTCGCCAAGTAAATTTTCTGAAAGTCGTACTAAAATATTGTCAGTTAAATTTATAATATAAAGATTATTCAAACCGTGAAAGAAATAATCGGGTATTTCGCTAAGTCTATTGTGCTGAAGTTCAATTATTATTAAATTCTCTGCATTTTTAAACAAATCACTTGAGAGTTGTGTTAAATTATTATTATTGAGATTGATGTCCGTCAAAAATTGTGTATTTACTTCATTTGGAAATTTTATTAACATATTGTTACTGACGTCAATTATTTTGATATTCCATAGGCCAAAAAATGTATTGTCAGGTAATGACAAAAATTTGTTATCATTAAGATAAATGAATTTTAGTTTTGATAAATTTTTAAATAATTCCACAGGTAGTGTAATCAGATTGTTGAAATCCAACAATATTTCTTCTAAATTATTTAAATTGTTGAATATTGTTTTTGAAATTTCTGTCAATGCATTGCTACCCAAATTTATCGTACTTAGTTTATTTAAACCAAAAAATAAATTTTCTGGTAATTTACTCAAATAATTATTGGAAAGATTAATTTCTGTTATATTTCTGCAACCTTTAAATAAATCATTTGAAAGGTTTTTTATTAAATTATTATTTAATTTTATTTCTTTTAAATTCTTCAATTCTCCAATATTTGAAATTTCATCAAATTTATTGTAACTTAAATCTAATATTTTTAGATTATTCAAATTATTAAACAAATAATTTGGTAATAATTTCAAACTATTATTGTAAATTTCAAGTATCTCGAGTTTTTCTAATATAATATTTGTAAAATTTAAATATTCATTATTATACAGATAAAGATTTTTTAAATTTTTTAGTACCATTTTTGATAAGAATACATATTTGTTATTTTCAATAATAATTGTTTTGAGATTATTTAAATTATCCAATGTTTCTGGTTGAATTTTTAAATAATTATTTGATTTAATTTTTAATTCAATTATGTTTTCATATTTTTGAAAATTATTATATTTCGAGAGTGTGACATTATTTTCCATGAGAATAAAGAGAGAAATGGAACGAGGTTTAACGTTGTTTACTTGAAAAATGTTGCTTAAGTCTGTATTTGATTTGATATGACAATTTATTAATTTAAATTGTTGTTTTCTGCTGTGAAAATTTATTTTTTCACTCAAATTATGATGAAAATTAATATTGTAATTGAAATTCGATAAATTTGCATTATTTTTGCATGATAATTTCACTGTATTTGAATGACTGTTATCAATTTGAATGATAAAATCACCACATGTTAAATTTCTTATCCAGATAGATTCTATTGTACATATACAATTTTGAAATTGCATTTCACATGGTTGTGATGGTAAAATTTGTAAAAATGACATGAATCCTAAAATACATGATAGTATCTTCATTTTTTTTTTCCTTTTTGGTTCACGTATTTAATTTTCTATTTAATCTGAAATAAAAATTAAATATTGTAGTAGAAATAAAATTTGTAAATTTGAGATATAAATTTAAAAGAAAAAAAGTTTTTGTAAGTTAAAAATTTATAGACATAAACTACAAAATGATAATTTTAACTGTTGTTTTATTTAAAAAATTTCCTATTGCGGTATTAAAAAATTTATGCATTTTACAATTTTATTTTTTTTTTTTTTTGTAAAACAAAAATAAATAAAATTAACAAATTATTATTTTAGAAATATTTTATTTTCTAACTGTAAGAATAATTTGAATGTAATTCACTGAAAAAAAAAATTTATTTGATTCAAATCCTCGATTATTTGAATATTATCAAATAAATATTTACCAAATAATTTTTGAAACCAAATTATTGAATTTAATAAACTGTATTTGAACCAATAATTTTTATATTTGAAAGAATTTGTCTAATATCATATCTCAAATAATAATTATTTGATACAAATAAATATTTATTTGATACTAATAAATATATATTTGATAATAGTCATAAGTAACCGATTATTTGAATCAAATAAATTTTTTTTCAGAATTAGGATTTTTATAATAAAAAAAAAATCTTTTTTTTTTTTTTAATTTCAGCACAAAACCCCGTATCTTTTTTTTATGTCAAGAAATATTTTAATAATTACTACCTTCATATTTAATGACCAAACAAACGTTTTTTTATTCTTATCAAAAATATATCTTATCTTTTTACTTTTGCAGTGATTTTGGATGCTGAACAAAAAGAAAATTATTTTAGTTTAACAACTAACCTGCTTATGGAAAACTGCTTTGACGTTTTAAAAATTTTTTTCTATTGAAATTTTCTAATTCTATTTTTAAGTAAAGAAAAAAAAAATATATCAAAAAGCGGAATATAGTGGGGCTACACGTCATATTTCTTTATTGGGTAAATGCAAATGAATAATTTTTATTGTTCTTTCATGAATACATTATAATATTATAGTTTATTTAAAATTACAAATAAAATTCGAAATTTCTGCTTATCATTTAGAATTTCGATTTATTTTAAAAAGTTTTCAAAAGTTTTTATATAAAAAATACATTCATTTTTAATTTTTATTTTCTATTCTTATATAAATTGATGATGCTCAATTTTTTTTTTTTGAAAACTTTTCGTTTATTTCTTTAAGTTTACAGAAAAATAATATTTTATTCAAATAATCGGTACACGCAGAGAAATTATTTATTTGAACCAAATAAAATATATTTGAGTTAAATAAACGTATATTTGTCTCAGAGCCTACTAACTTTTTTTATTTGGCGTAAATAAAAATTTTATTTGTCAGAAATAAATTTTTCTTTGGCTCAAATAAATTTTTTATTTCAATGAAATAAAAAATATATTTGCAACAAATAAATGAGTTAGTAGGCTCGGAGATAAATATACCATTTTTCTGAGTGTAATTTAACTATTATTAAAAAAAAATATATTTATTTTCATTAAATAATAATAATATAGTAAATAGTAAATAATAATAATAGTAATAATAATAAAATAGTAATAACTAAATAATTATTTTTTGAGTGCGGTATTTGTTTCAAATACAAAATATTGGTACAAATAAAGTTTACTTAATTTAATAATTTTCTTTTCAAAAATTATTTGATTCAAGTAAATATTTATTTGAAAATAAGTTATCGATTATTTGAATCAAATAATTTTTTTTTTTGAATATTCGTAAAAATTGAGACTAAAAAAATTGTTCAGTTTTTTTTTTTCTTTATAAAATTGATCTTATTTGGAATCAAATTTGATTATGCAATTTGATTCGTATTTAGAATGAAATTTGATTATGCAAATAATCTTATTTGGTATGAAATTTGATTATGCAATTGATTTTAGAAAATATATAATGTAAAAATGAAATAAAATTTTGTTTTCGTTTCGATTTTTTTTTTTTTTTTTTTTTTTTTTTTTTTGGTATTATTGTGTGTATACAAAAAGAAGTTCTCTTTTCCCCTGACAGTGAATCCACCCCTCAATTTGAGAATATTATACAAAGGGTGCGAGGGACGAAACAGGGTAGGCGGATCAACCCGGGTACCCCTGCTTTTTCTAGACAGGTGCTGCCATATATGTTCAGCTTCATATTACTAGTTTATGTCCTTGCCATAACGTTATTTTAATCTAGAACATCGTATTCGTAACAAAGTTTTTTTTTTTTTTTTCTTTACCTGCCGAGGAATACAAAAATTTTCATGGAAAACATTAAAAAAATTTATTAATAAAATTTTGAAAAAGTTCACATTTTCTTTTTTGGTAAGTAGAAAAATTTTTATTTCATTTAATATTAATAATATTATATGATAATATTTTAAATACAATATAAAATTTCGTATTTTGAAAAATTGTGTGTAATTGATAAAATTTTCCATAGGGCAATTTTGAATATGTTCTAAAACAAAATGTGTTGAAATTTTTGAATATTATATGTAAATTTTAATGAATTTAAAATATAGAATATTTTTTTCCATGGGAAAAATTGGAGATAAAAAAAAATGTTATTGATTATTTGAATGCTACTTGTCCTTGTCACGTGTCATACCTTTTGAAGAAAATATTTTTGTTGATGATACGTATATATGGGAGAGTTGTATTTTGAATTTATAAAATGAAAAATTTTATTATTATTTCACTGGGGAAAAATTTTATTTGATTCAATTAATCGTGTCACTTGATTGTTAATAAATATTTATTTGGAGCAAATAGATTTTATTTTTTAATTAAATAAACTGTATTTGAATTTTTGTATTTGAAACAAATACCATTTAACTAACTTAAATAATTTAATTATTTTTTTGAATTAGAGAAATTGTATATTTGTCTCAGAGCCTACTAACTTATTTATTTGTTTCAAATATATTTTATTTCGTTTAAATAAAAAATTTATTTGAATCAAAGAAAAATTTATTTATGACAAATAAAATTTTTAATTATGCCAAATAAATAAGTTAGTAGGCTCTGAGACAAATATACGTTTATTTAACTCAAATATATTTTATTTGGTTCAAATAAATCATTTCTCTGGGTGTATTATTATTTTAAATTATAATTAATTAATAATTATTAAAAATAAGCCCTTTTTTTACCATAGTATGAAAATAATAAAATAATAATTATTTTAAAATAAATATTTATTTGACAATAGTCAAGTAACCAAATTATTTGATAAATTTTTTTCACTGTAATAGTAATGAAAATTAAATTGTAGTTTACGAAAATAATAATTATTTAAAATAAATATTTATTAAAAAATTAATTAAAAAATTTTATTATTTTTTTTTTTAAATTATTTTTAAAAAAAATTCTAAAAATAAAAAAAACAATTTTTTTTTATATATTTTAACATTTATTTAAGAATTCGTAAGAAAATTTGATTTATATAATTTCCATATTTTTTTTGTACGAAAATATTTTTGAGGAGAAAAGCAACAATAGTTTGCGTGATAAATTGAGTAAACAAGAGAAATACTTCTTTTTTTTTTTTTTTTGCTCTGTTTTTCTCTGTGTGTGAGAAAAAAAAAATAATCGAAAGTAAAATTCATAGGTCGGTAAGAGTTAATTACATTGACGAGGACTGTGTTCAAGTTTTCCGGGCATGTTTATCTTAAATAAAAATCGAGCCACTTTTCTGTACCACTGACTGAACGGCCTACTTGCTGCTTACTTATTTACTCTCTTTTTACTAGAACCCCCTTGGCCTTGGCCCTCCTTCACGCAATCTTTACTACCCTGACACGACTTTGCAGCATGGATTACAGGTAGATCCGAGGGTAGATCATTAACTCTTTGTAAAAGGTACACGTTACCCGCAAAGTGTTAATCCATTGTGAAGTAAAATTTTTTCTCTCTCACAATTTTTTTTTTTTGATTTCTCTTATGTCTCTTGAAATTTAATTTCACTGAACTTTCATTTTTTTTTCCATTTTTTTCAATTAAAAAAATTTTTTTTTTAACTTCTCATTTTTTGCTTATTAACAATTAGTAATTTTTTTCTAATCTTTTCTTAGTACTGGAAAAATATCAAATATAATCCTTCGATTATTAAAAAAATATCATATCCTCTTTGTTTTTTGGAAAATACAATTTTACAATTATTAAAAATTTTAATTATTTTAATTTAAGTAAAATAATTATTATTGATTTTTGATTCAAGAAAAATTTCCCTTTATTTAATATTTATGAATTCAAAATTTTATTTTGAAAAATTAAATGCAAGAAATATATATCAATTTTGTGGTAAAATTAATTCTAGAAAATTGTTTAATTTTCCTTTTTATAAAGTATTTATAGTTGTGAAAAAGTTTTGTTCAAGGTTTTATAAAAAAAAACTTTCAACATATCTTGCAAGCTTGTGAAACTTATATAATATAAGAAAAGTATAAAAGCAACAGGTTTTTTTTTTTTTGCACATATTTTTTGATTCATTAAAAAATTAATAATATTTGAACATACGTTATTTCTTGCTCCAATATCCGCACCAAGATCAATCATTCTATCCAAAAATGCTGTACGATTATCTTTTACAGCATACATTAACGGTGTCATTCCAGTAGTCTGTAAAAAAAAAAAACAAATTTTCTATAGTAATTAATAAAAATTATTCAATAATTCATCAAAATTTTTAATTTTATTTTCAAACTTATTAATTCAAATAAAAATTTGTTCTTTCTTTATTAATAAATAATATTGTCTCTCAAAATAAAGTTTATTTTTTTTTAAATAAAGAAAAATCAAATAAAAATCATATTTGCATTAAAATGAAAGCATATTTTTTATGGAGCAAAAAAAAGTTATTGTCGATCGAACTCATTTTCTGAGGAAATTAGATTCTACCATTTTTTTTTGTACATGTCTCAATTTTTATTTGAAATAATAATTAATAGTAATGTAAATTTTTCACTCTTTGCGAGGTGAACATTTTTTTTGTGCTGCGAAGTAATTTTTTGTAATTATTAAATTTTGGAAACAAAAAATTAATTGTATTTGAATATCATGAAAATTGAGTTAATCTTCAAATTGTATACACTGGAAAATATTTTATTCTATTAATAATCAAATTCAAATAATAATAATAATAATAATAAAATATTTTATTATTAAATAAAAAATTATTTGGTACAAATGAATATTTATTTGTATCAAATAAAAATTATTTGGATGAAATAAATTATTTTTCAGTGCGAAAATAATGAATAACAGTAACAATAAAATTTTTGCATTTGAAAGAGATAAGAATTGTTTCTTTTAACATTTTAAAATAAAGGGAATGTCAATCAAAGAGTGAAAGACACGAAATGGATAAGATATTTCATTTTGTTTTACTGCCTCTTTGAAAGTTTAATATTTATTATCGAAAAAAAAACTGTTGTAAAATAGAAAATAATCTTTTTCAATTATCTCAATTTTCTATATTTTTAATATTTTTTTTTTACAATTCAAATAAATCTTTTAATAATTATTTTTAAAAAAATTGTTTAGTAATTTTTTTAAATAATGTTTTTTTTTTGGTGGTTTGGCAAAAATAATAGATTAAAAATTATCATTTTTACTATAGTTACAGTAAATTTTGACAATTTACTGCAAGAAAATATAATTTATTGATTATGTAAGGACGTTTATCCACGGAAATGTTAACCCTCCCCCCAAAAAAAAATTAATTATCATTTAAATAATTAAAATAATTGTACTTTCTGAAAGATAAAATATCAATTTTTAAGAAAAAAATTCAAAAACCTACAAAATTTATTTTTTTTTACACAATTTGCGTAGGATAAAAATTTTTTCTATTAATATTGCATACAGAATTTTTTAAAAACAACCTAAATAGGTAAATAATTATATACAGGATGATTTTTACGTTTTGGACCACCTAAAATTTTTTTTTTAATTCCCTTTTGATTTTTAAACAAAAATAATGGAATAAAAAAAACATTTAGGGGGTCCGAAACATAAAAATCACTCTGTATACACTGAAAAAAAATTTATTTGATTCAAATACTCAGATTACTTGACCATTATCAAATAAATATTTAATTGTAGCAAATAATTATTATTTGAGACAAAAATATACAAATACAAAAATTATTGGTTTAAATAGAATTTATTGAATCCAAATAAAAATTATTTGGTTCAAGTATAAATATATTTATTTGATAATAGTCGAGTATTTGAATCAAATAAATTTTTTCCCTATAAATAAATAAATTTTGTAGGTTGTAAATTTTTTTCTTAAAAATTGATTTTTTTTTTTCAAAAAATACAATTAACAATATTATTTTAATCATATTTAAACGGTAATTAAATTTTTTTTATAATTAAAATTAATTTTTTTTTTAAATTTTAATTGTTTTTCTAAATTTATAAAATTTTAAATATGGATTTAAATTATTATTTTTTTTGGATTTTGTTATATAAATAAAAATTTTGTACCGTGTCCAAGACACCGGACAATGGTTGAGGATTTCCATCCTCGCCTGCATTTTGTGCCGCCTTCTCCAAAGATTTGAGCAACTGGTCCACGGGTGACCATTCTCCTCTGGATGCAAGACCCAAAAGTCTTTGCGATGCTTCCCTTGTTGTTGCACCCGCTGAACCAGGTTTACTTCCTGGTTGCGATGGTTCTCCACTTGCCGCTCCATTACTTCCCGTTGATCCCGAACCACCATCTTCCTTAGCACCCACTGGACTCTCTTCTTTACTCGAAGAGCTCTTTTTATCATCCTTTACCGAGGATTTTTTATTGCTACTCATCTTACGTCACCGATTATTTCCAAAATCATCGCTCGATCAATTTTTATCGATCAGCGAAAAAAAAAAAAAAATTTCTTCAATAAGTCTTCAATAAATTTCTTTCTTTCTATTAAAATAATAAATATTAATAAAATAAATTTAAAATAATTTCTTTTTGACAAAAAGAAAAAAAATTATTACACCACATATACCACTTGCACAAAATTTCCGGTAACAAAGAATTTAAAGTAATTTTCCGGCACTTGAACAATAGTTACTCTTAGAAATAAAAAAAAAAAAAAAGAATGAAAAAAACTTTTTAATTAAAAGGTAAAAAAAAGGAATTTTTTTTTTCGCGTGAGACAATTATTTGATATTAGATGTTTTCCTCACGAATTTCCTCACGATTCTGAGGACTCGTTTCTCTTTGCTGCAAAAGAGGGTGGCTTTCAAAGCAGGATCGACCAATCACAGGTACACTGCCGTGGTTTGTTCAGGTATAAAACGTTACCAACACAATTTTAACATATTCACAAATGTAGTTATACATGTATATATATATATATGTATGCAAATTTCTAAGGTGGTAGGTCGTAAGGTTTGAATAAGGGGGGGGGGGGTAACTAAGACGGCCAAAGAAACGCTTCTGAGATGGGGAGGAGGGTTACTTTACCGTCGACACGCGACTTCCGGTTTTTGGATGGTAGACACGCCATCGTGGTATTCAGTACCCTACGGTTATCACCCTCATTGTAAAAAAGAAAACTGGCCTACTGTGATTGTCTCTCTCCATCTATATACTCCAATTTTCCTTTGTCTCCATTCTTTGATGCAATATATATTAAATTTACTTTTTTTTTTATTTCTTTTTTTCTTTACATAAATCTTATCAGTATATTGTAATAATAACTTTATTTTTCATGTCAAAAGAATGTTTTGTTCAAGGTTCTACTTGTGAAATTATCAGAAAATCCATTTTTCAATCACAGAAACAACTTTCAATGGGAGAAAAATAAAATTTGCTTTGTAGCTGTAAGCTTAGCGTTTCCGATTTGTGTGCGTTGAGTCCGGGTTCGATTCCCCGTGTCTGGGATTTTTTTCATGTTGGTTAAAAATAGAAATAAATTTTTATTATAATATTAATATCTTCCTATATTACAAAAAGATATCGCCGACGCTGTTTCAAGAATTCTTGACCTAGGAGGGGGGGTGTCCCGCCTCCTAAATTTTGAGGTTATGTTCGTTTCAAGGCTCTGAATATAGCCGCAAGTCCCCCCCTCCCTCCTCTCATTTCCCCTCCTCCTCCAAAATGGCCTAAATTTTAAGGTTATGTTCGTTTCAAGACTGAATATAGCTGCAAGTCCCCTCCCTCCCCCGGCAGAAATGACCTAAATTTTGAGGTTATGTTCGTTTTAAGGCTCTGAACATAGCCGCAAGTCCCTCATCCCTCCTCTCATTTCCCCTCCTCCGCCAAAAATGACCTAAATTTTGAGGTTATGTAAATTTCAAGACTTTCAATATAGCCGCAAGTGGAGGTGGAGTTCCCGCCAAAAATGACTTGAATTTAAAGGTTATGTTCGTTTCAAGACTTTTTAATAATTTATTGATGGTTTTTAGGCAATTTCATTGAAATTATTTTTCAAAATAATTTCTTAATGTCGATTATAATTTATTATTAATTTAATTAATTTATTAATTAAAATTTAATAATTTTAATTTTAATAATATTTATTCAGATTTCAATGAATTTGTAATAATAATTCTTTGAAATAGGTGGTTCATTTGGAAAAATAAGATCAATGGAAAATTAAAAAAAAATGATTAAAACAGGGGGGTTGGCGCACGAAGCGCACAGGGGGGCGTAGCCCCTCTAGTATTATATAAAAATATACTATATGGACGCTTAGAGACCTAAGGGAAAAAAATATTTTAGGTTATGTTTGTAATTTTTGGACTTAATATACTCAACTCTTAATAAAAAAAACATTTATGTTGTGTCCATTATCAAATAATTCAATTTTATTTTACCATTAATTAAAAAGAAACTTTTTATCAAAGGAAAAACTATTACTAAAACATAACCTAAAATTTTTTTGACGTAAGGTCCCTTTTCTCGTGGAGCGTCACATGATATATGATATATTTGTCTCAAAGCCAAATAAATATTTATTTGATTCAAAATAAATATTTATTTGATTCAAATAAATATTTATTTGATTTAAATAAAAAATTTTTTTACTCCAAATAAATGGGCTAGTAGGCTGTGAGACAAATATACATTTATTTAACTCAAATATATTATATTTGCGGCTCAAATAAAACATTTCTTTGAGTGTAATAATTTTTTAAATAGAACTCGAAATTCTTAAAAACTTAAAATTTGAACTTCTCTAACAATTTTAATTATTTTTCACTGCCAATTTTTTTTTTTTACACTTTTTTCATGATTCTGAACAATCGATCGTATAGGGATTTTAAGAAATATCAATTTTTTTCAAAAAAATAAATATTTAAAAATTGTAAAATGGTTAAAAAAATATTTTTTTAAATTTTTTATCCTAGACTATGGTTTTAGGTTCCAAAAATATGTTGAAAAAAAATTGACACCTCTAAATAACTTTCATTGGTTTTTTTTTACACTGTAAATACAATAAAAAAAATTTATTTGATTCAAATACTTAATTACTTGAATCAAATAAATATTTACTTGAACCAAATAATTTTTATTTGAATTATGCATTTAAACAAATAATTTCTGTATTTGAAATAAATACAATTTAAGTGATTCAAATAATAATTATTTCATAAAAATAAATATTTATTTGATACTAGTCAAGTAAACGAGTATTTGAAGCTAATAAATTTTTTTTCACTGTTATACTTTTATAATTCAATTTCTATTATTTTTCATCGACAATTTTTTTATATCCTCTTTTTATAGTTTTGAACAATAAATCGTGTGGGCTTTTAAAAATTTTGCAATTTAAAAAAAAAAAAAAAAATTTTTAAATGATAAAAATATTTTAATATTAAAATATAAAATAAAAATATAAGAAAAAAAAATTGAAATTTTTTTTCAAATTTCAATAATTTAGAATAATTTTAGACCCTAAATTATTGTCGAGAAAGAATATTGAATGTAGCGTAACAGAATATTTAAAAATTCGTCCGCAACCACATCAAGCTCTATTCACCCGTAATTCTAGATCACATTAAACAATTAATAGTTTATTCACTTCAGTGCTGGATAAAGGTGTATCCCTTTGGATTTTGATGCTAAATTTTGAAATTTTATACAAAATTTTTTTTTTTCATTACAATTAGCCTTAAAAGAAAAGAAGGAAAATTTATTGAATTTTTTTTTTTTTAATAGTTTAATTAAAAATTAACAAAAGCCCTAGGGGTCATGACCCCAATGTTCCTGTATTGAAACCGGCCCTGATATATACACTTGAAATTAACTTCTCCGAGAGCGAACCTTATGCAGTTAAATAGTATTAACGAGACCATCTGATGATAGATAGGGTTTATAATTTGAAAATAATTTTTTTTCTTTTTTTTTTTTTTTTTGAATATTTTTTAAATTATGTCATTAAATTGTAAAATAGCAATTTTAGGAATTGCTACTTAATAATTTTCATTGTTTGTTAATAATTTATTTTCAGTAAGAACAAAAAAAAGTGAAAACGTTAAATTAAAGAAGAAATAATGACTGCTAAAGATGAAACAGTGTCTCAACGAGATGAAGAAACAATTTGGGAAAAATTAAATGGATGGAGAAAGAATTTGATATGGAGATATTTTTTATTCATGTCGTTATGGCATATCGTTGCATTTTATGGATTTTTGACATTTCCTTATTCGACACATAAATTAACATTTTTGTGGAGTATGTAATTAAAAAAAAAAAATTAAATTTAAATTAAATTTGGAAAAAATTTTTTTTTACCTGGAACAACGATATGTTTCACTAAAATAGGGAAAGTTTTTCTTATACTAGAGAAATATATCACTGATCTAGATAAATTTTTTTTTTTTCCATATTAAATATGAAAATTGCAATTTTTTTACATCTTATGGTTTTATTTACAGTTGTTATTGTGTATCTTTATGCTGTTTTTGGATTATGCGGTGGTGCACATCGTTATTGGTCTCATCGTTCTTTCAAAGCAAAATTACCACTGCAAATTATTTTAGCCGGTGGTCATTATACAGTGGGCATCGTAAGTTTTTTTTTTTTTTTTTTGTACCAAATAATTTTTTTTTTAACAAAAATTTTTTTGTAATTGAATAACAAAAACATTTTTCTATAGTTAAAAACACAAAAACTATACATTGGAAAAAAATAGTATTGATTCAAGAAAACCCATTTAGACGTATTTGATTAAATATTTTTTTTTTGGAAAAAATTTTTATTAGTTTGAATTAATATTAATTAATTTTTTTGGAATTAAAATTAGTTGATCAAATATTGACAAGTAAAAGAATCAATGATATATACTATTTTTAGATAAAGTAAAACTGGATTTTAGAAAAAAGAACTTTTTTTAAAATTTTGTTGAAAAAAAAAAAATAAATAACGAAAAATAATCAATTTTTCTGATTTTATTTAAGCTTAGAATATACGATTGGGTGAAAATACACAGAGTTCATCATAAATACACTGATATGGATGCCGATCCTCATAATGCATCTCGTGGATTTTTTTACTCGCACATTGGTTGGTGGATACAAAAAAAGAATCCAGAATTTTTGAAACGATTGAAAGAAATTGATATGAGTGATGTGAAGGCAGATCCGGTAGCACGTTTTGGAGATAAGTGAGTAAATAATATAAAACCCAATGTGGTATTTAATTTTTTTTATCGAAAATTTAATTATTTAATGTCAAAAAAATTGAAATTAACAAAAAAAAAATTAATAATATTTAAAAAAAATTAATATTAATTAAAATAGTTAATAATAAATTTAAAAAATTAATACTTATTAAAAAATTAATTTTAATTAAAAAAATTAATACTTATTAAAAAATTAATTTTAATTAAAAAAATTAATACTTATTAAAAAATTAATTTTAATTAAAAAAATTAATACTTATTAAAAAATTAATTTTAATTAAAAATAAAAATTTGTTCTTTTTCCACAGATACTATTATAGTATGTTGACCCTAATGTCAGTCATTTTACCATCACTGGTACCAATATTTTTATGGAACGAGAGTTTATATTGGGCTGTTATGTCACAAGCATTTATGCGTTATGTATTGGCATTAAATTCAATATTACTGATTAACAGTGCAGCACATATGTTTGGATCAAAGCCCTTTAATAGGTAATCTATTATTACAAATAGAAACTAATATTTTGGTAAATTTTAGTAAAAAATTAATAAAAAAAAAATTAAAAAATGATTTTATAAAAGAAATTATTTTTAATATTTAATATATAAATTAATTGCAATTTTATTTTTCATAATAGGTATATAATGCCAAGTGAAAATAAACTTGTTGTATTATTAACAACAGGTGAAGGATGGCATAATTTTCATCATACATTTCCATGGGATTTTCGTGCTGGTGGAATTGATAAATATGATTTTAATTTAACATCATTTTTAATTAAACAATTTGAAAAAATAGGTTGGGCCTACGATTTAAAGACTGCAAGTAATGATCTTATTAAAGCGACATGTGAAAAAAGAGGCGATGGAAGTCATGCAAAATTATGGGAAGAAGTTCCTGAACCTAAATAGAAAAAAAAATTTTTTTTTTTTTATTGATAATTCATCAATAAAATTGCAATAATTATTCCTGTTTAAGTTAATTATTATTTATTGAAAATCTTGATTTTTTTTTTATCAAGATTACAGAACAAATAATTTGATAATTAAAGTACGTTAAGTATAATAATAAGAAATTTGTAAAAAAAAAAGAAGTTATTTTACAAATAACTTTTTTAGGTGAGAATTTACAGTTTGTCATTTTTGGAAAAAAAAAGGAAATAAAAATGTTGGATTTAATAAAACAAAAAGGTTTCTATTTATAAAAAAATAAAACAATTCTTATTTTTTCTTTTGTTATTGTATTTTTTAAATTTTAATTTAAATTTATTTATTGAATTTATTTATTTAAATTATTATTAATTAATAATTAATTAGTTTTTTTTTTTAATTTTATTTTCTCCATTGTTTACTTATTACAAAGTTTTTAAAAAAAATTTTCCACCGAAAATTATTAAAAAACTGAATAAAAATTTAATTATTTTATTATAAATTAATATTAGCTTGGAAAAAAAATGATTAATTATTGGATTAATTAACAAAATTTTTGTGTTAATTATTTCAAATTATCATTTGAATAGGAAGTTGACATTGTAAAGGCAGTCTCCCCTACTATTTTTCTCTTAAGTACACATACACTGAACTGACTTGTATCGTGTATTGCATAATATTCTTCCAATGCATAATATATGAATATTATTTATATACATTAAGCAGTGAAATCTGATTCTATTTTGTATAAGCAGTATATATATATATAAAAGACATTCAATGAATCATCAATATATGAGGACTTGTAATCCTTGTTCTCCTTCAATTTCCTTAAGAGTTGCATTTATTATCATTTTAGAATTTTACACTTACATTCTAACCGCAATGCAGTTTCTTTGAATGAATCCTCGATATAGGTTGAAGAACTTTACAAACAGTATATTTAATCACCTAATTCATTGTGATTTAGTATATAGTGAAGTGTCGCGTTCCTAAACCTTATAAAGTGTCCTTGTCCCTTTTACCAAGTGATATATATTTTACGCCGTTTGTATATATATATATGTCGTTCAATTTTAAATTAATTTAATGCATTCGCATACATTTAATATTTCACTGTATAAATAGTTTCATTTTTTTTAATACATAATATTTTTTTCCAAACTGTATTTTTGCAAAGATTTTTTAATCGCGCCATTCTCTACATTGAAAAACAAATTTTTTTTTGAACTACATATAATAGTTTATAATCCATTTCTTTTTTAATAATAATAATAAAAATAAAAAATAATAATAATAATAAATAATAAAAATAAAAAATAATAAAAATTAAAAAAATAAAAATAATAAAAATAATAATAAAAAATAATAAAAATTCAAAAAAATTAAAAATAATAAAAATAATAATTTTAAAAAATAATAAAATAGTGATGGAGCAAATTTGCTTGAATCAGTTAATTTACATCATTAAAATGTTTAACGACGTATGTATATATATGACATACAAGATAAATAATACAATTATCAATTCATATATTTCCTATCGCAGCGCTCTTTGACTTTAGTTTTACTCCCGACTTTGTCAGTATTGTGTGTGTACGTTATATATTCGAGAAAAAAAAAAGAAAAAAAAAAAATAAAATGCTCACCAAAAATTTTCGTGTGTTATCCAGATGTATTACTATTGCACGCAATGATAAATTAGATATATTTCAATTGAATAATAAACGCGAAAGAGGTAAAGATGATTTTTTTTTATGAATAAATAAATTTTTTTTTTTAAATAAAATTTTTTCAATTCCAAAATAGAAAATGAATAATGATAATTTTTGGTATATTTTTCGTAAATAAAAATTAATTCCAAATTAATTATCAGACATTGTTGAAATTAAATATTTGAAATTTTGGTAAATTGTTGTCTTTAAAATATTTTTCTATTTTAAAAAGGGTCTTTCGTTTCTTTTTTTTTTTTTGAAATGAATATTTTCAGATTTTGTTAATTTTATACAAAATATTAAGTTTTTTTTTTTTTTTTTTTACCAAAGTTTCATATCAAATAACTTTTTTGGGACATTTGAGAAAGAATGCCCCATTTGCTTAATATATACAGTAGATATTACATAAAAATTTTAAATCTATTTTTTGTTATTTTTTTAATAACATATTAAAAACAGTTTGATTTATTCAATGCATTTTTAATTTGTATAAATTATTTACGGAAATAATACGTTTGCAGAGTTCACAACGTTTATGATCAACGATTTTAGAAATTTCAAATTATTACAATTTTTTTAGTGAAAAAATTTTTGCAATTTTTCACGATTAACAATTTTAATAGAAAAAATTTCTAGGCCAAAAAAGTTATTGTTTTGTGTGAAAAATTTTTTTTTCTCTTTTGTTGATTAATCGTCAATTTTTAATAGAAAAATTTTTGTTTATTTGACAAAAATATTATTTTTTTGTGTGGAAAATTTTTTTTTCTTTTTTAATCATTGATTAATCGTGAAATTTTAATATAGAAAAAATTTGTAGAACAAAAATATTTTTTTGTGTGAAAAATATGTTTTTTTTTCATTAATTATTAAAAAAAATTTACCATAAATTGTTTTCTTCTAAAAAAAAAAATAGTTTTTCCTATCAATTAAAATTGTTAGTTACGTAAAAAACTATAATAACAATTTAAATACTTCCTTATAATAGAGTGCAATTATTTACAATATCCAATTGATAAGCTATCAAGAGTTTTTATTTTTTTATGTCTCCTTATTTATACCTTATTGTTACCTTATTTTTACCTTATAATGGAATTCAACTTCATTTTTTGATTCTAATGAAGAATCAGTCTAAACAAAATTTAGTGCATTTACTTTTTTGCATTTTTATATTTTTCAGGACCACTATTATTTTGGCACAAAATTTTTTTATAATAATTATTATATTTTTAATTTTAAGAATAAATTAATTTTTTTTTAGTTTTATGTATTATTATTATTATTATTTCTAATATTATTATTATTATTATTGTGATCGCTGTTTCAGGTGAAGATTTTTTTCCATGTACAGATTAGAATATAACAATTGTTACAAAATTTGTGTAAAAAATAATGCTGATCCGTTATTTATTATTAAAAGTGTGAAAAAATTTATTTTGAACAATCTGTATTAAAAAAAATTTTAATTAAAAAAAATTTTAATTAAAAAAAATTTTAATTAAAAATTTTTAATTAAAAAAATTTTAATTTAAATAAATTTTAATAAATTAATTTTTTTTATTTAAGGATGCTCATCAATTTTAAATAAAACATTTTTCTATTGTCAAAATCGTGATTATTGCATTGATGCAATAAAAAAACTTGAAAATAAAGATGAAAATCTCTCGCATCTATATAATCCAGGTTCTTTGCAATTAATGGAAATGACAATTGGCGAATTATTTGAATCGGCCGTTGAAAAATGGCCAAATCGTGAATGTATATTTTCAATTCATCAAAAATTACAATTAACATATGCCGAAGTTTATAGACGTGCAAATATATTGGCAGCTGGTTTAAAAAAAATTGGTTTAAAAAAAGGTGATCGCATTGGTTTATGGGCACCAAATGATATTGAATGGTTTATTGGATTTATTGCGTCAATGAGATTGGGTTTGATTATGGTTGGAATTAATCCCGCATATCAAGAAGCTGAAATACAATTTTGTTTAGAAAAAGTACAAGTGAAGGCAATTATTGCACCTGATGTATTTAGAAAAAAAAATTTTGCCTCTATAATACTTGAATGTAAAGAAAAATGTCCATTTTTGGAGCATATTATTATTTACTCAGATAATCATGTTAGGTAAGTTTTATTGAATTAAAAAAATATATTTCTCTTTGAGGGGAAAATTGATTTTTGCCAGTATTTAATTTTTCATTATTATTTATTATTTATTATTTATTTGCTATTATTATTATTATTATCATTATTTATTTATTTTGCTGCTTGAAAATAGAAATTTTTATTTTACAAAAAAAATTTGTAAAATTGTTTAAAAATTCTATTAAAATATTTTTTTCTTGGAAGAATTTTGTGGAAAGTAGTTTATTCAAATTCATTTTAATATTTCATGATTCGAAGAAAGTTTATTAAATTAATTGATCTTGATTGTTTATTGTTACATGGATTTAGGGAATATATTTTAATGATAATCAAGATAAAGGGTTTGTCAAACGTGACATATTCTTGAATAGACTTTAACCGAAGGGACGTTAAATCGCATAATAATTCTCTCTTGTTGACTTTTAACGTCAAACTACCCACACTAACTCGTGGGCTTGATTCATGAATATCGCGTGCAACATCGCGTAAAATAACTGACGGAAAACTTTATTATATTCTCAAAGAATTGGGTTAAATGAACGCTCTGATGTTTTGGAATCGAATTTTTTTTTTTTTTATGATTTTTGAGTCACGCACTTTCTAATTATTTTCTCAATTTAAGAGCAAAATTCTTCTTTATATCGTCAATAATTTATTTTAATTGGAAATATTTTCTATACAATTTTTTTTTAATTTTACAAATATTTTTTATTCAAAATTGTATCATGATAAATTTTTTTTCTAAATCGACTTTTTTTAAAGGAAAAAAGAAAAAAATAATTTTTTTTTGAACGGAGCTCTTAAAATTTTGTTATATAAATTATTTATTTTAAAAATAAAAATTTATTAGGGAATTAAAAATTTCCTCATGCGCCTTGGAAAAAATATTCTTAAATTAGAGCCTGAATAAAAAAAAAAAAATGATTTGCGTAAACGAATCGATCGTTGAATGTGACTTGCAATTTTTAAAAAGAGAATAATTTTTTTTTTTCGTCAAAGTTTACTTAAAAAGCTTGTCTTATAAGATACAATGGCATTTAGATTAATTTCCTGTAATAATTTTAATATTCTTTCTATTTGATACAGCCTTGTATAAGGAACAAAAGGGGAAAAAAAAATTCAATTTTTATATTAGCTTTTTTTTTATCGTATTCTTTGATTCATTTTTCTTCTATTATCTTTTTCATGGGGGGATATTACTGTAATCTTAAAAGCATATAAATATATTTGCTGATTATTCTCGCAAGACGGAAATTACTTTGAATTTAGGTCGCGTTTAAAAAATAATCTCATTTTTGTTAATGTGTACTAATTTTTCCAGTGGATTTCGAATCTCGCTTTATACGATTTGTTTTTAGATTTGTAAATTTTAAGGATTCATTTTTTTTAAATTTGCAATTCTAATAATTTTCAATTTAGAGGCACACGACTTTTGACTGATGTAATTAATTTGGCAACCGGAAAGGAAATTGAAGCAATTTGTAAAGAACAAAAATCTGTTTCACCATACGATGGTAGCAATATACAATTCACATCAGGAACAACTGGAAAACCAAAAGCAACATTTTTAACTCATAAATCTCTAGTAAACAATTCACATCAGGTAAGTAAGGAGAAATACCAAAAAAATGAAAAAAGAAATTAAATATATAAAAATTTTTATTTTCAGGCAGCAAAACGTTTTCAATTGTACAATAATCATCATAAAATTTGTGTAAATGTGCCATTTTTTCATGCATTCGGAATGATAGCACAGACCTCAGCCTGGCACTCGGGAACAACTTTAATTCTTCCCGCACCAACATTTAATCCAGTCAGTTCTGTCGATGCAATTGTTAATGAAAAATGTACTGGTATTTATGGCACCCCAACAATGTGGGTAAGATTTAAAACAAAAAAAATTCAATACAGAATATTATAAATTAATTAAGTACATATGTAAATATTTTCCGCAGATTTTTTCTCGCCAAATTAATATTAATAAAATTTTATGGAGAACTCAAAAAATTCGCCACAAAATTTTATAATAATTTATCAATTATATTTTGGGAGAAAATCTGAGGAGAATATTTTATATGTAAAATTACAATAGTCACATGGACCTTAAATAAAAAAATATACGTCGATTGTAATTGAAGAAATATCTGATTTGAATGAGTTGAAACAAAATTGACAGCAAATTATGACAACAAATACAATGTACAATTATCGGTCAATAACAGTATTGGATATGATTAAAGAAACATATTGAATGATTGGAATGAAATAGTAAACAAATCAATCAATCGTAAATCTGATTACGATAAAATAATTAAAATAATTAATTACATTTCATTTTTAATAATTTCATATTATCTGCAGGTGCATCTCATTGATGTAATTAAGAGAGTTGGTACTTATTTGGATCATATTAAAATTGGAGCAGTTGGAGGTTCACCTTGTTCGCAAGAACTTCATCGAAGAATAAAGGATACCTTCAATTTCAATGGAATGAATGTAATTCATTATTAATTTAATATTAGGATAGATTTACCATTTTTAGCCACTTTAAGAGAAAGGAGCAGTGAAATTTTTTAGCCTTTCAAAATTTACGTTGTTTTTATGCCAATTTTTTTTTCTATCATTAATTTAGAGTCTAAAATTATTCCGAATTATTGAAATTTGAAAAAAATATTTGTTTTAGAATTTTTATTTTTTAAAAAAATTGAAAATTTTAAAAATCAAATACGACTTTGCTTATTTTTATGGTAACCATTAAAAAAATATTTTAAAAAATTGCCGATGAAAATAATTTTTAACCACTTTTTGAATTGAGGTCTTTTTGATAATAAAAATAGAACTTTGTCATATAAGATTAGACTTATACAATATTGGCTTCTTTTAATCTAAAAATCTAAATTTTATTGGCAATGTTAGGTTTTACCTCACGAGGGGTCGACGACTCGACCTATTCGCTTCTATCTATGCACATATCTTGTTGGAAGTTTAGAACTCATATGCATACGCATGGTAGCATAAAAGCTCTACCCTAGATGACCTCAAAACATTTACCTTCATTTATTACCATTATTATTCATTCCCAAAAAAATCTGTTCGAATAATTGTATTTAATATAAAATAAATTTTTTTTTCCTCAGTCTATATACGGATTAACAGAAACAACAGCAATTGTTTTTCAATCGTTACCAAATGAAAAAGAAGATCTCACTGAAACTTGTGTTGGATACCTTTCTGATCATGTAGAAGTTAAGGTAGTAGAATTTCGAAATTTTTTTTTTAATTTTACAAATTATTATTATTATTATGAATTTTAATTATAGATAGTGAATGAAAATGGTTCAACAGTTCCTTTCGAGACACCTGGTGAATTATGGGTTCGTGGTTATAACAATATGATTGAATATTGGCAAGATGAGGAAAGTACAAAAAAAGTATTGACTGATGATGGTTGGTTAAAAACAGGCGATCAATTTTTATTGAGAGCTGATGGTTATGGTCAAATTGTTGGAAGGCTAAAGGATATGATTATCAGAGGAGGAGAAAATATTTTCCCTAAAGTAAGAAAATAAATTTGATAAGAAAATATTTTTAAAAAAATTTAATTATTGGTAAATTTTTTCCATTTTTTTTTAGGAAATTGAAGACTTTTTGGGAACACATCCAGATATTTTGGAAAATCATGTAATTGGTATAAATGATGATGTTTATGGTGAAGAAGTTTGTGCTTGTATTAGATTGAAAGAAGGATCAAAATTAACTGCCAATGAATTGCGTGATTGGTGTAAGGGAAAAATTGCACATTTCAAAATTCCCAAATATTTGGAATTTAGAGATACATTTCCTTGTACAACAAGTGGAAAGATACAGAAATATTTACTCAAAGAAGAATATGAAGATAAATATTCAAGTAAATCTAAATAATATAATTTTTTTTTAGATTTTTTTTTTTAATATGAAAAATTTACTTAATTTTTTTCAATTTGCTCAAAAAAGACGATTGGAATTAAGTCTGGGGTAAGAAAATAATGTATAAAATATTTTCAAAATGTATATATAAAAAAAAAAAATGTTAATAAAATTAATTATTTTTTATAATTAAAACTTTATTTTAAGGCAATTCATTAGTTAATTCTTAACATATAGTTTTTTTTTACAAGTTTACAGATTTTGAATAAAACAAAAATTTTGAAATTATAAAACAGATTTTATTTATTTATTTATTATTATATCAACATTTCGCTTGTCCCATTCAAAAAAAGCAATAAGATTCAGAGCATATTTAGAAAAGACGTAAGTTCCAGAGACAAAGTAGAAAAGACGTAACTCTCAAAACCATTTAGAAACCGCATAACTCTGACAACATAATATTTGGAAACAACGTAAACGTCTTTTTACAATTTTTCAGGACAGCAATTTTATTATTTGGAAGCTTCAGATAATTCGAAAAATAAATGAAATTCATGCAAATATGAAGTTTATAACCTTCTGTATTTGTAAAAGTCGCACGGAATACAAAAAATCTCTTCATAACCCATAAACAAGTTTGTTTAAACTGCACAGTCAAATATCAACCCAAAATAATGAATTTTGCAAAATGTTTTCAAATGTACGATTTTTAATATTAAGACTAACATAATTTTCATTAAAATAAACGGTTATTTAAGTTTGTTATCATTAAAAAAAATATAGTATATATAAAAATATAGTAGAATAGAGAGATTTGGAATGCATAAATGAAGAACTCCACGAAATAACGATCTATGGCACAATTGAAAAGCTTGGTTATGAGCTTTCAAAAAATATAAAAATTTCATAAATTAATAGCTGTAACCGAATTATTGATGCCCGTGAAGTTAGCACCACAACTCATTCAAAATCAATTTTTTTTTATTTTAAACGTTTGTTGGTCGTTTGATAGTGTTTGATAGTTGATATTTAACGTTTGATAGTAATAATTAGAAAAAATAAACAAAAATCAAATTTTGGTGTGCTATTTTCACACTGCACCCCAAATTCAAAAAAATACTAATTTTTCATTTGTAAACGTTTGTTGGTTGTTTGATAGAGATTGATAGTCAATTCTGAACGTTTGATAGTTGATATAATAATAAATATAAACATTATCAAAAACATCTATCCATGTCGCATCCCTCCATTTGCACATGCGCAAAACATACTTTCGCGGCATTTTCAAAAAACAGGAACAAATTTTCCTCTTCGATTTTAGAAACAAAATGTAATACTTCAAATTTTTATTCATATATCATACAATTAAATACTCTCCTTTCAAAATTGTCAAATTTTAATTCCAAACGTTTGTACGCAGTTTAATATTGATTAATGGTAGACTAATATCATTTGATAGTGATTGATAGTTCATTATTTTCGTTTGATAGAGATTTAAAATTGACTAAAATCATTTGATAGTGATTGATAGTTGATTATTTTCGTTTGATAGTGATTTATAATTGACTAAAATCATTTGATAGTGAATAATAATTGGCTGAAATCGTTTGATAGTTAATTATTATTGGATAATATCGTTTGATAGTGATTGATAGTTGATTATTATAGTTTGATAGTGATTTATAATTGACTAAAATCGTTTGATAGTGAATAATAATTGGCTGAAATCGTTTGATTGTTAATTATTATGGGCTAATATCGTTTGATATAGTGATTTATAGTTAATTATTGTCGTTTGATAGTGATTTATAATTGACTAAAATCGTTTGATAGTGAATAATAATTGGCTGAAATCGTTTGATTGTTAATTATTATGGGCTAATATCGTTTGATATAGTGATTTATAGTTAATTATTGTCGTTTGATAGTGATTTATAATTGACTAATATAGTTTGATAGTGAATAATAATTGGCTGAAATCGTTTGATAGTTAATTATTATTGGCTAATATCGTTTGATAGTGATTGATAGTTGATTATTATAGTTTGATAGAGATTGATAGTTAATTATTATCTTTGATAGTGATTTATAATTTATAATCATTTGATAGTGAATAATAATTGGCTGAAATCGTTTGATAGTTAATTATTATTGGCTAATATCGTTTGATAGTGATTTATAGTTAATTATTGTCGTTTGATAGTGATTTATAATTGACTAATATAGTTTGATAGTGAATAATAATTGGCTGAAATCGTTTGATAGTTAATTATTATTGGCTAATATCGTTTGATAGTGATTGATAGTTGATTATTATAGTTTGATAGTGATTGATAGTCAATTATTATCTTTGATAGTGATTTATAATTTATAATCATTTGATAGTGAATAATAATTGGCTGAAATCGTTTGATTGTTAATTATTATAGGCTAATATCGTTTGATATAGTGATTTATAGTTAATTATTGTCGTTTGATAGTGATTTATAATTGACTAAAATCGTTTGATAGTGAATAATAATTGACTGAAATCGTTTGATAGTTAATTATTATTGGCTAATATCGTTTGATAGTGATTTATAGTTAATTATTGTCGTTTGATAGTGATTCATAATTGACTAAAATCATTTGATAGTGAATAATAATTGGCTGAAATGGTTTGATAGTTAATTATTATTGGCTAATATCGTTTGATAGTGATTGATAGTTGATTATTATAGTTTGATAGTGATTGATAGTTAATTATTATCTTTGATAGTGATTTATAATTTATAATCATTTGATAGTGAGTAATAATTGGCTGAAATCATTTGATAGTGAATAATAATTGGCAGAAATCGTTTGATAGTTAATTATTATTGGCTAATATCGTTTGATAGTGATTGATAGTTAATTATTATCGTTTGATAGTGATTCATAATTGACTAAAATCATTCGATAGTGAATAATAATTGGCTGAAATCGTTTGATAGTTAATTATTATTGGCTAATATCGTTTGATAGTGATTGATAGTTGATTATTATAGTTTGATAGTGATTTATAATTGACTTAAATCGTTTGATAGTGAATAATAATTGGCTGAAATCGTTTGATAGTGATTGATAGTTAATTATTATCGTTTGACAGTGATTTATAATTGACTAAAATCATTTGATAGTGACTAATAATTGGCTGAAATCGTTTGATAGTTAATTATTATTGGCTAATATCGTTTGATATAGTGATTTACAGTTGGCATAAATCGTTTGATAGTGTATGATAGTTTATCAATATCATTTGATGCTGATTGAAAGTTGATTAATATCGTTTGATAATGATTTATAGTTATTTAAAATGGTTTAATAGTGATTGATAGTTGATTATAATCGTTTGATAGTGATTTACAATTGTCTAAAATCTTTTGATAGTGATTGATAGTTGATTATTATTGATTGATAATGATTTATAATTGATTATTATAGTTTGATAGTGATTTACAATTTACTTAAATCGTTTGTTAGTGATTAATAGTAAATTATTATCGTTTGAATGTGATATACAATGGACTAGAATCGTTTGATAATGATTGATAGTTGATTTTTAACGCTTGATAGTGATGTATAATTCACTAGAATAGTTTGATAGTCTTTGATAGTTAAAATTCAAGGTTTGATGGAAATAATTAGTAAAAATATTTCACACACAAGAATTGTGTGTCATTTTCACAAAGCACCCTATTTTCAATAAATTATTGATTTTCCTTTTACATTCGTTTGTTAGACGATTGATAGCAATTGATAGTATATTTTAAATGTTTGATAGTCCAAATTAAATTAGATATTAAGGTACGCTCTCACCTTTTGCTTGCATGCACGCATGCAGAAGTTGTCATGGCAACGTGGAGGAGTAAGTGAGAGGAAATATTCAAATTTGCATTTATTATCTCTATTACTCTTATACGTTGCCATGACAACTTCTGCATGCGTGCATGCAAGCAAAAGGTGAGAGCATACCTTTAAAGTTATAAAATACATCTGTTCGACCACTGCAACCCTACTCTGCGCATGCGCACAAAATAAGTGGCGGACAATTCAAATATCTTCAACTAACATTTATTTATTTATAGCGATTAATTTAAAAAATCTTTAATTAATAACAAGTCTAAATTGAAATAAAAATAAGCTATTTCATTTTAACAATTGAATTATTTTATGAATTATTTATTAATTATTAATAATTGTTTGAAAAAATAATTTAAAGTTTTAGTAATAGATCATGATTTGATACAAATTAAAATTTGTTTTCCGATTATAATTGAATGAAGAGACATTTCATTAGTTCATACAATTTAATTGCAAGTATCGCAATACAAATGTTTTGAAAAAATACAGATAATATTTATAAATTATTATTCAGTTTCAACAATGTATATATTTTTTTATATACCTAATATTTATGTTATAAAAATAATTCTTTTATAAAATTTCCCAGTACATATTTGAACTTTTTTCTTTTTGTTCATCAATATGTACCTAAGTATTACATAAAATATATAAGACAAAGATAATGTTTTCACTTTCTTTTCAAATAAAATATGATCAAACTTTTCTATACTCTAATGTATACTGCTGCTGATGTTGTATATCCTGTATTATAATCCTTTGCAGTAAATGGATGAATTTTTTTTTCGAAGTTGTTATATCTCGCCCAATTTCCGTTTAATCTTCGACATAAAGCTATATGTTGATTTTCTAAATTGCGATGTATTATTCCAGTTAGTCTGTAAATAAAAGTATTTTAATTACATTAATTCAATCCTATTATATTTAAAAATATTATTCTGTATAAATTATTTGATTAATTTTATGAAAAAGAGAAATTATTACTAGGTATTAATTGTTAATATATGACATGTAGTAATTTAAAATAAAATTGTACAATTTTTTAGTAAAATTATGTAAACTTATGAATTTTTATATGCTTCAATGATTTTTTGGATTATTATTTTAGTGAATTATAATAGAATAATTTTATGACTATAGCATACCTGTAGGTTTCTTCGAGTAAAGTTAAGTAGACTGGAAAATCATGAACTTTACAAGTAAGCAATTTCTCTTCATCTTCAGCTTTATTGATCTCAGTGTCAATGATAATGTGCTTATTGTATTTTATTTGTACTGACAAAGAAAGA